ATAAAATTAAGTCTGGGAGTGTCCAGTATTGGTAAGGTTATAAATATATTCTTGTCATCTAACAATGAGACATAAAAAATAGTCTGGGAAAACCCTTCGCAGATTTTTCTATAAAATATCAAATGATTCTTTGGTAACAGCTCTGCATATAAAAATGAAATTGATAAATTCCTGTATTTACTTACATATAAACAGAAATTCTCCATTCAGTTAGGTATAATGTTTGATATACAATAATATATTTAATTAAAATTAATCAAAATAATAGTTAAAATACAAATAATGCAATACAATATGGTTCTAACCCTGGAAATTAATATAAAACCCAAAAGGTAATAGACAAATCAGTCGTGATGTATTTTTACAACACTACTTCTAAAAACAGTCCAGAAAAACCCAGCTTTCAATATTTCGTGAAACTGGAGGAGCCTATTTTGCACCAGGGGGAGGGGGAGGCAGAAAAACTGGACAGGGACCCCCTTCTCTGTTGCACAGAAAAAGGAAGATGAACTATTCTTGTCTGTGCTACCCTCAAAACAAATATTAAAGGTAGGTTTAAAAGCAGGGTAATTAAAATGTTATATCTGAATGGAAAAGCCTTAAACCAAATCCCTTAGATTGCCTGAATTGTTACAAAACTCCACATAAACTCCCCACATAGAAATTTTTCATCAAAGATTGTCATTAAAGACAAACCATTAATTGAAAATTTCTTAAAGGACTTTAAAAGCAAGGGTGCATCAAAAAATTAGTCTATTGCGCCCCTTTTTTCCTAGTTAAAAAATGGAGTGGTAAAATTGATTTATTCTAACTATATTTTACCTGACCATTTCAAAATGGAAGATTAAAGAATCGTAAAATTATCACAAAATTCATTTATATGTAAGTACAGTCACTCTGTTGGCTATTTCGATGTGTACAGACTTAAAAGATGGCTATTAATTTCCAAATACCAATTCATAAATCTACAAAATGTTTAAGATATCTTTAATTAGTAAAATTATGAAAACATTTGCCTTTCAAGAGAAATTGACATTTAGTTGTTCAGTTTACTTAGACGATGGTCTAATAATGGCGAATTCAGAATTATATGCTTTACAAACTAAAATTACAATAGGAAACTTGAAAAATCTTGGATTCACAATGAACTTCAAAAAAGTACTTAGTTTAGTTCCTAGCAAACATTATAAATTTTTTAGGGTTAGCCTTCACTGTTGTAAATACTGAAAATCTTATGTCGATTGTACCTACTAGCCGAAGAAAAGAAAATGATTAGTTTCAAAGCAGTCACAAAATTAAATAATGAAAAATAAGGCTTTTTTGCTCCTGTTATTGATCTCCTGATATCTGCTATGCCATCTGAAAAATATATAGTCGTTTATACATCAAGTCTTTAGAAAAAGAAAAAGTTTTAGCTCTAGGAGAAGAATACGATAACAATTATTAATAATATGAATATCATATTGTAATCATTTATAGTTTGTTGCATTCTATTATGCCCCAAAAATGTCTTGCTCAAAATTGTAATTTTGCAAATATATTCGTGAGGTGTGATAACCACTACCACTTTATATATATTTTTGTAAGTAAACAAAAAAGGACAGTAGGTATCTATAAATCATAAATATCTGGATGAAGTTATAATAATATTTATTTACCATAAAAAATACATTTTCTATTGACTTAATACAATAAATATATTATATTTGCTAAAGATTTGGAGCTGGTGTGAATCAAAAAATTACTGGATTCAAGCATAGTGTACTTATATGCGCATCTTTTCTACTTACATTTCATATACCTATATTTGTTCAGTAGAAAATAAAGCAGATAGGGGTCACGTGTCAGACTTCTTTGGAAACAATATGGGAGTTAGATAAGTCAGTATTTAATAAAATACGTAACAAGAAAAGATGGAACTCCTCTACAATACAGTTGCCCCCCTTAGGGCATGGCGGTCTGGCCTGGTGGAATTATTCTTGTAGAAAATAAGTAATAAATTTTGTACAAAACGCAGCTGGCTATACGAACAAGCTTTCGTTAGTGTAGTTAGTAATATATTTTACTAATACCTAAAAGCTAACATATTGAAGCCGATATAAATGTAAAATGCCCCACAAAAAGGTATGTCTAAGTTAAGGCCTACAAAATCACGTTATAATTTTTCTTGAAATCTTTGAAAAGTGTTGGATTATTTGAATAATTTACCAGAACAGTTGTCACTGGAACAGTTAGTCCAAAAGACCACAATCTTAATTTCCCTGATAATAACTGGCTATGCAAACAAACTAATAAAATACAAAATATCGTAATCACAGGTTTGATCCAAATATTAATTCCAGTGCTCATAAAAACATCAAAACAGAAAGATTCTAAAACTTGTAAGATTTGTTGGAGTTGGTAATATCTCGTAGAAAATCTTCTAGGATCTGCATCGCTACTACTCAGCTAGAGCATCGTACATAAACGGTAGAGTACCTATATTAATTAATAAAAAGCTTAAATCAGGAAAACTAGGAATTTTTATTAATTGCCAGTTTACCACCATACTAAAAGTGGGAACCTAAAACATACATCAAATTGTTTTAAGAAAGACAAAGCAGCGACGCAGATAAATAGGTAGGTACTGCTAGATTTTCTGCCTTATTCCAGGAGACATTCTGTGGAAAGCTTTTATAAATTTTTACAACAGGCCTCTGGAAGAATCCAGATTTGCAGAAGCAATAATTAGGTATTAATTGTTTTACATTCTCATCATAGAATCTTAAAAAAGATACTTTTTCTGTTTACATAGTAGGTTAGATTGTTTATAAAATTTTTGCTTGTTTTTACCATAGGCTTAAAAACAATAGCTTTTGTTTTTCTAGGAAATATCAAAGAAGATACTGTAGGCGAGTTCGGTCAGTCAGGGGCTGGAGCGGGACAAATTTTTAAATGACATTTAAGCGTGTTAAACTGTCACTAATCGGACTAAACCCACTGATCTGTATTATTTTACTGGATAGGATATAGCCCCCTAAAAAACGTTCCGAAAAATTGGCCGATTTGGGCCAATAATATGGCGGACCGGATGTTATTTAACGTAACCTCTATTTCCATTTGTCATCACATTTGTCATTTGATTGTGTCAACAAGCTACGATGAGATGTTTTTATTGTGAAACAAAGTAAAAAGAGTATGAAATAAACAATAAACGTTCATTCCTGAAGACACAATATGCTTCACGTTTCCATTTTTATATTTTCTTTCATAAAAAATCAAATCATGGGTGAAATTTCACGAAGGACATCGCCCGCAAAAGGAATAGAAGAAGAATAAGAAGAAAAACTAATCAAATTATAGGTTAGATATGTCAAATTATCCCAAATTTCAGTTCTGTGAACCCACCATAATTTGCCCAAATCGGCCAGCATTGTTGCACTTCCGGTCTCCTTGGTGGAACGATTTTTTAGTATGTTAAATATAGCCTATATCCTATCCAGTAAAATAATACAGATCAGTGACTAAACCTAACGCTAAAAGGGTCGTTTGGAGTTAAAAGTGTTAAAGGAGTTAAAGGAACTTGGCAGACCGAACGCAATGTGTATAACCTTGATACATTTCCTAAGCCTGAAACAATGTAACTTTAAACAGCCTACTATGTTATTATAAAGTAATCTATTCGGACGAAGCGCCGAATATAATTACCCGATCAAACGAACTTGTGAAGTTCGATCGTAATTATATGAGGCGCTTCGTCTGAATAGATTACTTCCCATCCCATTTTTACCCAACCCATTTGTATTTGTTTCAGGTAGGTATACATCGAAAAACAAATTTTGAATTGCTTTAAACTTTATGACGTGTGAAAGGGATCGGTAAAGTAGGTAAGCATACTTAACCGATAAAGAAGTTTTTTTATCTTTGAACGTTGTGCCATCTAGCACCGAAAACCGGTACTACTAAGTTATTATAAAGTAATCTATCGGACGAAGCGCCTCATATAATTACGATCGAACTTCACAAGTTCGTTTGATCGGGTAAGTAAACTGTGGCGTCTGCTGAACGCAGCCATTTTGTTTCCTTTTCTTACCAAAGGTTAGCGTTTAATAAAATTATAGAAAAATCGCATAAAAACGAAAATGGCCCAAATTATCTTTGTGTCCTTTTCCACATAATCGATTTAATTAAACTGTTTAAAATAAATAAACGTAACAATAATTTAATAAGTAAATCACAATAATAGTATATTATTAAACGAGCAATTTATAGTAGCCATTATTCACCCGAGTGAATAATGACTATACTTTGTTCACGACCATTATGGTTTCTTTATTAAATAAAAGTTAAGTGTAGAATGGAAAGTTTTTATTAAACATAGGTAACTAACTGTTGTTTTTTCCACTTTTCAATTTTTCGATTTTCGATTTTTTGATTTTTTGATTTTTTGATTTTTTGATTTTTTGATTTTTTGATTTTTTGATTTTTTGGTTTTTGATTTTTTGATGTTTTGATTTTTTTATTTTTTTTTTTATTTTTTGATTTTTTGATTTTCCGATCTAGAAAATTTCGTTATGAAAAATATCGCCTATCTTTAGTTATCTACCGGAATGTGCCAGAATTACAAAAACGTGAATTATCATAATTCACTCCGTGATATATGGGTACTATATGCTTTTAGTTAGGAGGTAGAATATTGATTTATTATTAAGTGGTCGTGGACAAAATAGCTTTCTGCCTATCATAGCCCGGGACATATATTTTTTTTAATTTTTCAATAAATATAATATAATTTCAATGTAGCTTTCGGAACTATTAAACTGGTTTTTCAAATACCCGTCATATTGAAATTAATTTATGATACGCCTGTGCGATGTAAACAATAAACAATGTCCCTGTGAAAATAATGTCTATGCTAGAAGACGACAGTCACTTATCTAGTTTATTTCTTCATCTGAGGCTAGTCTGTGACTGTAAGCTTTGTAAAGTAAAAGGCCACAATAATTAAAGAAGAAGGATATGAAATAAATGAGAAGAAAGAGAAGAAGATAATAATATAAAATTGAAAAATAAAATTTAAACATACCCTATTTTACAATTTTGATGATAATTTAGGAATTTATACAAAATGAATCAAGCAGAAATTAATAAATTAGTATCCCAATTAAGAATAAGAGTAAACCCTAGGCTAAGAAAATTCAGAAACCCATTAGGTCCTGAAGAAAGGTTAAACAAACTAAGAAAAACAGTCACAGCTCTCATCAAACATGAAAGAATTGAACTTAATTATCCTAGAGCGGATGAATCGCGAATGTACGCAGAACGAGTAAGTATTTGAGTATTCTTATTTAATTTTTTAATGTCCAATTTATTTTAGTTAATATCAGACGCTATCAGATATGGAGATTGCCATAAAAGCACAATGGAAATGGCGGATTACTGGATTGTAGAGAAACAGCTAATACATAAATTATTTAAAGTTTTAGTACCCAGATATGAAAATTATACCATCGCCTATACACGATTATTAAAGGCCCCGAAACCATACCCTGGAGAAAAACACTTAAAAGCTGTTTTAGAATTAAGAGGAAACCCATATCCATCTCTTATACCAGATACTCAATCGAATAGAAGTTTGTTGCATAATGTACTACTAGATGAGGCTAGAAAGGCATTTAGAGCTGAAAAATACAAAGAAATAGCTGCTAAAGTTACTGCAAATTTTAAAGAAGGTGACAAACAAAGAACAGAACATGATGAAGTTGCTGAGAAATTGCAGGAGGATGAAGATAAGACTAAAAATACTGGTATTAAAGCTGAAACACCTACATAATATTTAAAATGTATTGCAATTGCAGATTTTTGTTATAGAATTCATTTCATTATAAGTTAATAAATATTTTTGACTTATTTATATCCATGTTATTATATTATTATTATATTTATTTCCATTATATTTGTCTGCTCAACAGGGAAGGTCATTAAATTGTCATTCTAATTTTTTTTTACTGGAGTTTGACTGAGAATTGACCTTTTTCATGGCAATGGGAAACAGGACAATTCAATGGCAATGGGACATTAATGTTCTAAAAATATTTCAGTAATGTAGTCTATGGTCCATTTAATATGCACCACTTCAACACCTTGGGCTATTTGGATCCTTACACAGTTGCCATGTTATGGTATTCAAAACCCAAAAGAAAGCTAATTGAAATAACTACTTTAATCATTTACCAATTTTTAAAATGATTAAAAATCAAATAATTTCAATGCAATATTTTATAAAAATTACTACATATATAGTGTTTCGTTTTACTACCTTTCAGAATTCCACTATATATTACGTAATGTAAGTTTGTAAAAAATAGTATATTGTGTGCAATTGGAATAAATACTTGGTAAATAATGTACTTTCTATGTCTTTTTTATTTTACTAATTAACGAAACTAACAATCACATAATCTCCACAAAAATAGGACATGTTTTTATAAAAATAACTGGTTTCTTTCATCTACCAGGCTTTTTCCTTTCGTAAATCTGGCAACCCTATAGTGAATACAGTTGATATTTGTCAAAATGTAGACTATAGGAATAAAGAATGACTGTTGCGAAGGTATATTATTTGGGAAGTTGTAAAAAAAAATCAGGAAATAAAAAGCAAATAATCCCATGTGATAACTGGAGGGGGTTACTAGGTGTCACTTGCGTTGTCTGATATAATTGTGTGAATCTTAGGAGCACCTGTGACATCTGCCGCAATGGAAAGTACTTTTAAAACTTTCAGTTGGATTAAGTGCAAAAAATAGACTGACCACTGAAAGAGCGGGACAAATTGCATAATTATTGAAATCTCAATGATACCAAGAAACCAAAGACTCAAGAAAAAAGCCAAATCAAAGAACATAGTCACATATTTTCTAATGGTAGTATTGATTGTAGTGAGGATGACCAAGGGCCACGATATATTGTGACAATAATTGGGGCTAACTGCATTTCTTGTCGAAATGTAATTGATATGTGTAAACATAGAACACAAAAGTGTTCAAACAACATTCAGTTTTCTCTACTAAAAAGTTGATTAGAATGACTGCAGTTTACCTCTAAGGCACTTTGACTTTTATCATTTTTTTTTATGGTACTTATTTTTTTAGTCTTTTATGTTATTGTTTTAGCCTTGATTATATTATTATTATAAACTTCATACAGTAGTTTGTGAAGAGTATTATTGGTTTACTTTGCCCGATGTCACGTTTTTTGTCTGCAGGGTAAGTCAAAAACGAAAAATGATATCAACTTGAAAAGTTTAAGCAAAAAATAAGCTCTCTAAGCGGACAAAGCCTATTGATTTTGAAAAAATCTGATTAAAATAGGGGGTTAAGATGGGTTGATATTAAAAAAAAAGCGATAATAACATGAAATTTTTAGCAACCATCAAGCTCTATAAGGAGAAGAAGCCCTTTGATTTTGAATGGGGGTTTAAAGGGGATTGAAATTAAAAAAAAAATCAAATGAAAAGAAAAATCAACATGAAATGTTTTAGTAAAAACCAAGCTCTATAAGGAGACGAGGCCTATTGAATAAAAGTGGGGGATTAAGGGAACAATAATATCAATTTGAAATTTTTGGAAAAATCAAGCTCAATAAGGGGATGAAGCCTATTGATTCTGAAAAAAATCTGATTGAAAATGGGAGTTAAGGGCATAGAAATAGTATAGAAAGCCGATTCCATATATCAAAAATGAAACCATAAGGAGAAAATAGTGTGTCGGAGCTCATGCGTATAACGGTGCTGGCGCGAACAGGACCGGTGCAAGTTTTTTATTGATCGAACAAATAGTTCACACGATATTTCAATCATACATTTTTAGAGATGATTCTATACAAAAAACGATTAAAAAAATTTCAAGTTAAGGTAAATATGGTTCTGACAGTCCTTATTAAGAAAGATATGGCATAAAATATGAATTAGTTAATTTTCGGCAATCATTAGTACAGTAGTCATGAGATTTTGCTTGTGATTTTAAAAATACTTTCCAGAAAAACCACGTGCTCCGGTTTTGACTACGTTTATTATTAAACAGCGAAATTATATACAAAAACTTCACAATCTAAATTAGGTACTATCACAAGAAAATCACTGTTACAATAATTAATTACTTAACCAAAAACTAAAATACTTTTTAGGTACCTATGTAACCAGAAAGGAGCTGGACCATTTATCCTAATATTGATTTTCTCTCTCCCTACGGTAAAACTTAAAACAATAACAAATTGCTTATCTACTAGGGTCGGTAACTAAACGTATATACATAATGGGCGGATTTTGTTTATACTTAACATTACACTCGCGCTTTTAAATATAACTATGCATATAAATATTTACAAACAAAGATACTTTTCCAAACAGGCAATCATTAGTACTGTAGTCACGAGATTTTGCTTGTGATTTGACATCTTATTTGATAATATCATTTGCTACAACTAAATTTAATCTGGGGAGTGCAAAATAGGGCCCAGGAATATTATGTTCGATATTCATTTACATTTTGTCAGCCGAGACTATGAGTCGTTAGACAGAAAACCTTTCATGTTACCATTTTCAATATAAATTAAAAAATTAAAAATACTACTACATTTACTTGGTACATATTTTATTTTAATTTTGAACCCTTTTAAAAGGGTCTTTCGGTTCCATAATAAAAATTAGTTGCTGCTTACTAGAAAAATTCTATATAGCCTAAACCAATTTATAGTTTGTTTTCAATCAATTTAATACAAAGATTTAAAGTTTTTAGTCGATGATAACATTCCACACCAGCACATTGCAAACCTATTTTATAAATAATAGGAATAAACTTGTAAATCATTAATTTGGTAGTTATCTCACTCATATGATTTTTTTGTTTATATGACCATTTCGATTTCTAAATATATTTTGGCCTTACAATACGATGCGTTTTGTATCTACCACTTTTTTAATGAACGATGAATGTTGACAGGCGTGTACCTTTTTCGGAACAAGAGGCGTTTTAACGAAGGAAATGATTTTCGAACTATCTAGTTAGTTTTCGGAAAAATAGAAAAGCTTTGAAGAAAGTTGTCAATAACAGTTTGTCGTTCATGTGTTTCATTTTGATCAGCTTTCATACTAAATTGCGTAGAATATTTTTCCGATTCAAAATCGAGATTTTCGATATTTCCACAGTTTATTTATAATACCTTCTAAACTGGATTTATCTATCATTTTATATACTTTATAATATATGTTCATGCCCTACTTTTCACTTTATTAATAATTTTTTTTAACATACTTCAAAATGGTAGGATATTCTCAATTCGTTGAAATATTTTTTTATGTATGTTGAGCGATAATTCTTTACCACGTTGCCTGATTTCTAGGATTCTTTTTGTTAGAAAAGGAAACAGTTTTATATACATTAAGTCAAGATCTGAAGATGGGATCCATAAGAAAATCATTAACATCTTTATTTTTAAAGAAGGTTTTTTTTTAATTTCTTTAAACCTTACTGGTTCGAACGCGGTAAGGAATGAAGAAATGTAAATAATTGTTGTGCCAGCCAAAAAGCGAAGAGGAAGTACCGATTAAAATATCGAGTGACAGAAGAGTTCCTAAGATTGTTGAGATCGGGTTTTTGTTTTAAAATGCCTTAAAACCGATATCGATAATGTCTCCCCGTCGCTGGGCAGCCTGTATATAAATATACAGCTCTCTATTTACATATTTATAATTCTTAGGTAGGTTTAGATTTGCAGACATAAATCTTGTAATAAATATAACAGCTGCCTAATACATTGATTACATTTTCATTAGCCAATGTAAAAATGTCTTTTATTGTACCTAGGATTTGACTAAACACTACACAAAACTAAAAATAAAATGCCACTTTCATCGTGTAATTAATGCCGCGTTTGAGAATCCACATCGGATGCATTTTTTACATCTCGAGCGTTTTTTATCCACATCGGACACATCTGTCCCATTACATTTACGAATACTGAATCACGTGATCAAAGATTTACTACTTACTACATCTCAGATGCATCCAATGTGGATTCTCAAACGCGGCATAAATAATAAACTACAAACGGTCCTGTAAGGGCAGCGTCATATAGCCTTGAAACACTGGATTTTAGTGCTATTGCCAGGTCAATATTGAATTTGTAGGTGAATCGCTTATTGAACATTAAAAATATGGTATTAATGACATTAATACGGTATTTATATATATTTTTGGTAATGTAATTACACATAAATATTATTAGTTGATTATTTAAATGTTTATAAGTTATTTTGTGGCGATATTTCGTAGATATAAACTGTTTAAATCATATAATTTAAAAATTAATTAATTTAAAATTCTTTTCTGTTAGGTATGTTTAATATATTTGGCAACACTACAGGGACAAGTCATGCATATTGCGCAAGCTTCTAGACACACTATTTTGCGATGTCAGGCGCAGAGACGCGTTTTTATACACAGTAGGTTTCAATTTCTGCTTAAATGTTATGTTTATATTGGTCTTCTATATTATTTCTATGGTTAAGGGGGGGTTGTTAAACTGTGAAGAGTATAATTTAGAATGCCATGTATTATATAATAATAATAATCGTTATTTTGATGGACAAGCATAATACATATAAGAAAGACAATTCTTAAATAAAACAGTGTCAAGGAAAATATATTAATGATCACAGAGTAATATTCATTAATTGTATATGGTTCTAAATTAATTAACAATTCATGTACTTCCCTTTTAAATACTTTAACATTTGTTAATCTTTTTATTGCATCAGGCAGTTTATTGTACAACTTTACACAGCTGTACCCTGCTCCATGTTCTGTAGCTGTCAGCCTATGTATTGGATATACTAGGTTTATATTTCTCAATATATAAGCATTTGTTGGTTCAAAATTTAAAAATAAACCTCTATTTTTAAATAAAAAAATTAAGAATTCCTGGATGTATATGCCTATCACAGTTAAGATTTTATTTATTTTTTTTTTTTAAATTTCGTGTCATCGGCGTCGACTACTACGGCCATTAGCCTCGTGTTCTGTGTAGGCTTTGTTACTGTTTCCCAGCGCCACTTTAGGAACAGCACTGTTAATTAGAACCCAACAGCGAATGGTCGAGTGGGGAATCCTACCTATGCATTAGAATTAATATTTAATTTTTTTTAATTAAATAAAAATTCCTGCCACCGGTGGGATTCGATCCTGAGACCTTCCGATCTCAGAGTCATGACTCTAACCACTGAGCCAACCCACCCCCTAAGATTTTATTTTTTCTAAATTTACCTCTACACAACTCTCTCATATTTAAACAGCATAATCCGCATTATTCTTTTTGGCACTAAAAAAAAACCCTTTCAATTTAATTGCTCCCACCATAGAATATTATCCCATATCTAATTCTGGATTCAAAATTTGCAAAGTATACCATTTTTAAACTATCCCATTCCAAATATTTCTTCACAACTCTGATGCTGTAACAGATCTGCCTCAGTTTTGTACATACAAACTCAACATGGCTTTCCCAGCACTGAAAACTATCCATATATAGCCCCAGAAACTTGGTACTAGTTGAGACCTTAAATATACAGTTGTTTAATTGAATAGTTATTGGCATTTCATCTCTGTTGTAATCGGTTTTAAAAAGTACCACATTTGTTTTGCCCTCATTGAGTATTAATTTATTTAAAACCATTTTTTGGCTTTAGTTATCTCTCTATCTGCGTTTAGGGTTAATTCCATCATATTAGATGCATTTATTAAGATATTTGTGTCATATACATAGTTGGTTAGCACACAGTTCTCATTAGCAATCATAACATAAGGTATAGTAGGTCCATATTAGATGTTATTTCTACAGATCTACCTTCCTCATTATTTTTATATACTTTGACAACCTGTTTCCTATCCTTAAGATATGATTTGAACCACCTTAATGCAGGCCCCCTAATTCCATATTTCTCCAGCTTGTCCAGCACTATCCCATGGTCTAGACCAGCCATACTCAACCTGCGGCCCGCATGTGGCCCTCCAAGCTTTTTAGTGCGGCCCCAAACACTATTATTAGGATGCTGCTTTTTAAAACTTTGTTTTTAAAATTTTGAGCGAAATGCGCGAAAACATTAACATTAAGCGATAAATATCATACTATCATGCTAATATTTTTATTGTTTTGCATTATGTTTTGTGTTTTATGTATCCCGACTAATTTTAATAGTTGACCCACAGTCCTTTCTTGAAACAAATTGTCTTGACTTTTCAAAACTTATTATTAAAGAAAATATTTAAACCGGATCTCTATCGTCACCCGTTGTCCTTTATTTACGTTTCAAAAAGGTGGCAACCCTAGTTATCATCCAAAAATATTGCGGCCCGCGTAGCAGAATTTAAAAGACTGATTGGTCTGTAGTTCTCCACCTTTTTTACGTCACCTTTTTTGAAAACGGATACTATGCAGGCTATTTTTAATTGATCAGGAAACACCCCAAATCGAAAAGCGTTATTTATTATATATACTAGTGGATTCACAATTTGCACTACTCATCTTATTTTTGAGTTTCTTCCCAATCTCTACAATTTCCATTGCAGTTACTGGTATTACATATATAGACTTTTAAGTTACTAGATATTGTACTTACATAATTACTATTACTTAGGCCAGAGATTACATCTGTTATTGACTTTTCAAGAAAAGACATAAAATTGTTTGCTACTGTTGACGCCTCCCCCGGTATTTGTATAGTATTGTTATGTGAGTCATTTCATTATTCAGTCAAGCTCTAACCCTCCAAGTCCCTCTCTGCCTTATTTGGCCTTTGGGGCTAAACTTGTCCGATTATTTTAAATAATTAAACCCCTTAAGACCAAACCTATGGGACGACTATGGCGGAGGTGCTTTCGATGACTATTAGAGAAAGGACGGGATAATGGTTCTAGTCTATTGGTGAGAATATGTGAACTTTCTAGAACAATCGCCAATTTTTTAAATTTGTATATAAATATTGGTAGAGGACCCAGCAGAATCAGTTATTATATGGACAGTGAAGATAAATAGTAATTATTAGTAGATAAACAGTGGTGAATATAAATAGTGAACGATTTAAAGTCAATCGAAGTATATATCTAAATTAGAATAGTAGTGTTATAAAATAAATAAGTGTTTAAATAAATTATTAATAAATAAACTGTTGTTTTAAAATAAACAAGCATCACAGTATGTTGGTTATTTTTGCCATTTAAATTACTCACTATTTACCATGTTGTTTTAGCTTTATTGTCCGAGTCAGATATTTGTTTTCCAAATACTTTCTTTTTTCTAGTTAATTGTTTCTTGTTATACTCTTTGTTTACTTTTTTATAACTATCCCAAAACCTATTATCCACTCTGCTCATTGTGAATAGAATATTTAAACGCCTTTTGCATTCTTCCACCTCAGAGTCACTCATAGGACAAAACTGACATTTTTTTGTTAGAGGTTTTCTCTTTGACTTTTTTCAATGGGAAACATATATTGAAAATGTATAAAAAGTTGCACATAAAAGATTCCCATTGCTAATTAATGTCACACTTGTCTACCTGTTTAATGAATTCCCAGTTATATATCTTCATTCTAGTTTGTATCTAGGTAATGTTATGTATTATAAAATAAACATTTTAGTTGACTTGGTTTATTTGCCAATAAAAATTATTTAAAAATATATTATTTTATTTGACATGCGTGATAAATTGTAAAATTGATTAAATTTACAATAAAAAGCGGTAGGTAAAGTTTCATATATTTTTTACAGAAAAATCAATGTCAAGCTTTGTACATAACCTGATATTTAAAAATATAAAGAAAAGTCAGCTGACTATAACTAATAATGTTTATAAATGGCTTTCAACGTATTAAAAACAAAACAAATATTACAATAACTTAAATATTCATTAATAGTTGTAGTGCTTGCAAACAGTTTGATATTGACTATAATAACTAAGCTTAATAGGTGCGTTTTAATCATTCGCTTCTGCGTCCGGAATTGTCGGTTTAGTCGTTTTATTAAGTGTAAGGGGTTAAAGAAAAGGTCCTTTATTTCTCACAAGTCAGAAATACTTGTGAGAAATAAAGGACCTTTTCTTTAACCCCTTACACTTAATCCCTACTACTCACATATGGCTACCCTCACTCCAAATTAGTCGTTTTAACCTGTCAGATTAAAACAAGAAAACCGACCATTTCGAAGCAGAAGCGGATGATTAAAACGCACCTAATATAAACCCAAATACAAAAACAATATTGGTGCTTGTACAAAGTTTTGAACCGAACTTACAAACGATAAAATTATTGGAAAAGTGAACACCATTTTTAAATTACCACAAGCCGTCCCTGCTCACAATGCCGAATACTTGGGATGTTCATCATATTTTAAGTTGCATGGGAAAAGTAAAATTTTACCTGCAGATAAAGAACTAGGTATAGAAATCGACATTGAAGAAAAACCTAAAAGCCTAGAGAAGCAAATAATATACAAACAAAAAATTCAAGAACAAGCTATTAAATATAGAAAAAAGCCACCTAAACTTAAAGGATATTGGATTTTAGTTCGAAACCAGAAAATTGGTAAAGAATACATAACCAAAGGTCCTCTCCAAGTTTGCAAAGTAAAATACATGCAAGGAGTTCTGGCATATATGCAATTTAAGAACGCATATAAACAATATTAATATTCGCCAAGGGGACTGTGTAGGACATGCCGTATATTTCTCTATGTAATAAACATTCGATATAGATTGTTGATTGTCACTTTGACATATTTTAGTTAATACAAGTTGTCTAAATTCTGGAAATACTTTATTACTTACATTAATATAATAAAAGGATGGATATGAAATATATTCGTTCAGTTGAAGGCAATAGCATACTTTTTCGTTTTGTAGTCTGTGCGTAGATAAGCTAATATCCATGTGGGTACAGAAAAAGAATTTATCGTATTCGAAAGAAATGAAATAGTCTATATATTATATAATCAATATATTCAAAATAAATACACTATTTTTAACCTAAGTCTTTTTTTGATGCGGACGCACAAACAGGCTATCTTCTGTCATCAGGATCCTAAAAAAATGTTTATATTAATAACCTTTATTAAATAAATAACTTAATGTAATACTTACACATTCGCATTACTAGCCATGCCTGGCACGGAAATGGGTTGAAGTTTAGTTTCTTCAGGAACTTTGACGGTTAAGGAAGACTTTGGCCCTGTTTTCCAAATGTTACATTGTTCATCTATTACGGAAGCTTCGACGGACAACGAATATTGACCACCTCTAGGAAAAGCCAGCAGAAATTGGGCAGTAAAGAAATCTTTATGAGGCGTCACCGTTTGGGTCAGTACAGATACTTGTTCAAGAATCTAAAAAGCATATTTTTTTGGTTATAGAATCATATTTTTATAGGAAACATAAGTTTACTGACCTCATCAAAATTTTCTCAAATTTGAACTAGCTGAATTTGCTCAAAATAAAATTTAGTATGAAAATCAGGATATCATTTTTTATTTGTTGATTTTCAGTTAGAAAAAAAATATTTTGGGGGATTGTCGATGGAAAAAGATTGTCAAGGTTGGTTTAATATGTATATGTAAGGAATTTATTGAAAATGTTGATGGCAAGAATAAAAATAAAGAAATTATATATATATATAAAAAGGTAACACTGTGAATTTTCATTTCCACTTACAAAAAAAAAACATACACATGCAGATGCAGACATAGAGATATACATCTGAGGATAGGAGAATAGAAGAAAGGCGTAGATACCTAAGACAGGAGGAGATCAACAGTAACACGTTGATATCTAAATAGTAAAGGCGATAAAAAACAGAATGTAGTTTTAAAAATTTATTTTAGAAAATTGTTTAAAATTTATTTTAGAAAATTCGTTTAGAAATTTATTATTATTATTTTTGTAACATTATTTGGTACTTATTCAAATCACAAATCACTCCTTTGAGTCTTGTGCGTTTTTTTTTTAATTTGGTATACAGAGTGCTTCCATATCAAGTGCCGCTAGTCAACATGGGGCTCGAAATTTTTGGATTCAATTTTGGAGTAAATATGGAATTTCAAATATGGGTAAGACTTTTTTATAATTTCTTTCATTTGAATTGTTGATTAGTTATTTTGTACGCATGGTCGAGAATTAGAGGTAGATAGGGGGAAAGGTTGGTTTGTTGCAATCTGAAAAAATTGAAAAAGGGGATATATAGATTATCAAATTATTTAAAACTAAAACCACCAAACCACCGCTATTCAATATTTCTATTCAAGGAAGACCTTTTTTAATTAAATACGATTTCTTTCAACGCCTTTTTGAACTTTTAAAAACTTCTTTAGGATCTGTTATCTTTGACTTCTAAACTTCTCAGATACCAATTTTAGTCGAAATCTGCCAACTTTTAAAAATATTAATTAATAAACTAATCAGAAGTATAACTAGTTTTGAGCCAGAAAGGAACCTTATCTACATACAAAATTTGATGTTTTTCTATATAGCCGTTTTTGAGCTATCCCGTCAATAGACAGACTACGACAGACAAACTGATGGAATGGGGAAACATGTTTTTCCTAATCTATGGACCCTGAAACCTGAAAATCTGAAATAATCTTGGAAGGGAACTTTTTCACGATTACAATATACTCCCCTCTTATCGAGGGAAGTAAACAAGGAGATAGAGACGATAAGAAGAAAACTGGAGGGAGTAACATAATAAATAGTAAAGAAACAAATAAAGTAAAGAGTTGAAACAAGATGAAGAAGAAATAATTAATAAAATAGAAAAATGTACAGAAATAGATATTAAAGAAATAAATAAATGGAAAGAGAGAAATAAATTAGGGGAATATGAAGAAAATGGATGTAAAAAGTTAGAAGAAAGAATAGAATCAAATAAAAAACAAATAAAGAAGTAAAGATACAAGAGAAAGAAATAAAGCTAAAACTATAAATTGAAGATAAAGACGTTAATGAAAAAAGATTAAAAATCCAAAAAAGAAATAAGTATTAATCAACACAATAAAATAAAAATTGAAGAAGTAATAGAAACCGACAAAGAAAATAGAGAAAATTAGGAAACAAATCAAAGAAAAAACAAGGCATGAAAAAGAAAAAAATAATGGAAAATAATTCAGAAAGAAGTAAGAAAGAAACAAATGAAGGAAGGAAAATAAAATATATAAAAGTTTAAAAAATAAAATTTGCGTTTAAAATGTTGAAAATATAAAGGAAATTAAAAAGAAAATGTAATATAAGGAAAAATTGGGGAAGATAATGAAGAATAGAAGATTGGCAGAAAAGGAAAAAGTGACGACGAAGGAGAAAAAAAGCTAGTAAAATTTAGATGGCAGACAAAAATTTGGAATTTTAAAACTAGCTGAGAACACAAAAAATTAATAAAATAGAAGCAGATAGGTATATATTAAGTGTAAGAGTGGACATAATGTATGAAGGAGGAAATGAAGACGATATCGGTAATAGTAAATAACCCAATAAACACAGTTAATCGGTACCGTAACTGGGCCGAAGGAGGCTTGCCGAATGCCGCACTTGGCCCGATATACGGGTGCAGCTTCGGCATATAGGTAGGGCATGTCCGCCCAGCCGAATGTCGGCAGCCCATTACATTGTAGCCGCGTTCATATATCTATATATAGTTCGGCCCGTAAGGATGCTTCCCATGCCCGACTAGCCAAATATTCACCGCGTTCGGCTCGTAAGGATGCCTCCCACGTCTGCAAAGCCAAATATGGACCACATGCGGTTTCTACTTCTAAATTACGTCAAATGGTACGCTACTCCCGGCTCAGAAGAAACCCCGACAACGGCAATCCGAGTACTCGGCTTCCCGTACATGCCGGTGTCAGGCCGAGCGAATGCCAACTATTTGTGGTTTATTGGGAAAATACGGATATATTAACAAATTTGGTAAAAGATGCCATAACATGAAGGAGCCACATTTTCGTTTGTTTAGACCATTTTAGACCCTCTAAAATACATTTTTTAACAAAATTTTCCTCTGGAAACGCTTAAAAATAAGTTTTTTTTTTTTAATCCTAAACATCCGAATGTGTCATTCAATCACGATCTTAAAAACTCATGACTTACATCATTTTAATTGATTTCATGCAGTAAAAACTGTTAAATAACAATATTAGACTATCCATAGAATAATAAACCATATAATTTTTTTCATAAACGCTTATTTCTTTGCACTTGTTTTTCAAAATTTTAAAACTGCTGGTGACATCTTAGTGATAATTTATCTATTGTCTTCTATCGTTTAAAAACCACCTAAAAAATACAGTGTTGCTAGATCAATTCAATCATTTCAATTATCATTTTTACCTGTGTCCTTTCGATATCAGAAAAATTGTATAAAACGCGTCATAAAATAGCGCGCTTTATCGAAACATTTGTAGCTACATAAAATTAAAAAAAAAAACCTAACTAATTAACCTAACCTGTGCGGCCTGGTGTCATTTAAATTTAAGTGATTTCTCACACTGGTTAGGTACGTCTACGCTGGAAGGCCTAGACACATACGGCCTGGAGCCATTGCGTGTTACTTCACAACTGGTGAACTTCTTTCAAATATCCTCTGGCTTTGCTATGATTTCTCGGCTACGCTGTACGACCCAGACACAAACGGCCGGAAGCCATTGTGGGTTGATTTACAACTCGTGAACTTTTTTCAAACCTCCTTCAGCTTCGCTATGATTTCTCGGCTACGCTATAAGGCCTGTAGCAACTGCGGGTTGCAGCACAACCCGTTGACTTTTTCAAACATCCACAAGCTTCGCTCTGATTTCTCAGCTACGCTGTACGGCCTGGAGCTATTGCCAAACAGCCACCTTCATTCCTGTCATATATGTTTTCTTACTAAGTTTGGCAAACCCGCATTTATAGAAATAGAAATGTCAATTGTCATATTATTATCCATAAAAAAAAATATTTTTATTTAAAAATTTTAAAAATCGAAAAGTAAAGAATTCTAAACGTTTAGTTTTTTATATGGTTTATTGCTATATGGATAGTCTATCTATATCTGTAAGGTGTGGAGGGTGGGTTAACCCACAACACTTAGGCCTCACTAGGCCCATTGTGCATATGGATAGTCTAATATTGTTTTTTAGCCGTTCGTACAACCAGAAATCAATTGAAATCATTTAATTCACACTTACACGATTTTAAGGTAAAAAAAGTGTCAGCGGACCCAAAATAGTTATGTGCATTGTATTTCAAAGCATCTACAAACTTTCTGTAAAATTTCAATAGTAATATCCGCCGTTCATGTTTCATGGTATATTACCACGAATTGGAAACAAGATACGAAATCCATTTTTCTTCTTGACATAATTTTGCAAGGCCACAAGGTAAACTCCTTTGGTTTAGGGCGGAGAGGGTGAAACTACTCCCAAAGTTGAAAATACAAACTTATTTTTTGTAGATCGGCTCTGGAAAAAGTGGTCAGGGATGAATAATATATCATAATAACCACCCCTCAGCAAAAATCCTTCTTAGGGATAAATCAGTGCGGAATCAAACGAAGTCGATAGGGACATAAAAATATGAAATTTAAAACTCAAAAGACGCTTCTTAAAAGGATCTCTAACAAATTATAATGAAAGATACCTACCTTGGGGTCTATAACTTCCTTATTTTTAGGATTGCTTTGCAATTGCGAGGTAACATTGATAACAACTTCCTTGATTTTCCTAAAAAGTCCAGGCCTGATTCCATGTTGAATAACACCTTCCACTTTGACAGCCAACTGAGAACCAGCTTGGACACTTATAAATTCTCCTAACACTCTTGGTTGAGGAGATATGGCTAACTTCACGCTTGTGGATTGTAATATTTGGAAAAAATATCTCGGAATTGGTAGAGAGGCGTTGACTAAAATTTCTATGATCTTTTTGAGAACTTCTACTTGCTGAAAGAAAAATAAAAAGGAAATTTGGTTAAGTATAAATACAGTAAATTAAAATGTAACTGGTGAGATATAAATAAAAAATAAAAGTTTTGTTAAACTTTTTATTTTTTTAATGCATAAGATTTATACAGGTTCAATAAGAAAATTCTCTACTTCGGAGGAAATAATTGTGATAAAAGGCATATTAGAGCTACTTTACAGTTCGCACTTTTTCTTGCAGTAAGTAACATTGGAGAAATTCATATTGAACACAAGATAAATTTATCTCTCCCTCCCTGCTTTAGGCGCCAAATAGCTAAATTGCCCATTTTGTTATTAGGCATTCCATCGACCTGTCAAAATGATGCCAGTGGGAATTGACAGTTAAAATAAGGCAACCCTGTGGGCCGGTTGTCATTGATGGGGTCAATAATACATATATAGTTATACAGTATGTCCCCCTAAGTTTGAATCATATGAAAAACTTTTTTATTATTGATTTTAGAAAAAAAGTAATTCTTGATTAAAAGTACTGCATGACCCAAAACTTAAAATAGAGTCATCAGATATCAAAATTTTCAAGCCCTATACGAGGTTTGTCAAAAAATATGATTTTTGCTCAAGAGTAAAGTACGTTTATTTTTGAATTGAATTGAAAATTACATTCAAATATGCAATTACACCGATCTATCTGAAAAATCAGATTTTTTCTAGATTTTGCATTGATCCATCTAATTACGGTAATCCATAATTTTTTCTCTCTCTTCTCTACTATAAACATGTTACGCTTTCCTTTTCTTGATGTTTGTGAAGAATTTAGCAATTTTCTTAATGAAAATTTTCGATTTTGTCAAAAATAAACAAACTTTACTCTTGTGCAAAATTCATATTTTTTTGACAAACCTCGTATACCACTGAAAAAATTTGATATTTAATGACTGTATTCTAGGTTTTAGATAATGCAGAACTGTTTATGAAGAATAACTTTTTTTCTTAAAATTAATAATAAAAAAGTTTTCCATATGATTCCAACTTATAGGGGGACATACTGTATATATTGCTCAAAGTGGGTAGTTTAGCGAGCGGCCATATTGCCTGGCAAGTGTTCATTAATTTGAATCAGTTTAGCAAAAATGTGCTTTAAAACCAATTTCCAGTCTTTGAATAGTAAAATGAAAATAATTACATATACAGGGTGTTTCATCTTAGACGAGCCACCCCGTATATTTCTTATCCCATAGTAATTGGAAAAATTTCCCAAAACACATCGGATGATTTTCTTTGGGGGACATCTTTTGACGTATATTTGAGGCTTGAACGAGCAACCCCCTATGAGGAGGCGCTTCAACCCCACAAAATTGAATAGGAAAGAGGGTTGAGGTCTTGGAAGCCTCTTTACAATGGTGTATGAAAAAAATCATTCTTAAAAAAAATTAATTGTTTTATCACATGAAATGATCGAAGAAACGTGATAAACACCTTCTAAGAACAAAAAATGAAGGCAAGATAAGAAAATGTTTTGATTCTTTTTTATTTATTAGTTCGAGAGAATTTATATCTTTATTCCAGTAAGACCATTGCTACACAGTATTGGAAAAGTCAGTTTTACAAAGTGTTTTACAAAGAATGTATATAATTTAGGCAAGTAAACATAAAAAATATATATATATAAAATAAACAGAGCATATATCAATCACGTAACAAATAAAAATAAATAATATTACACAGACCGAGTGGAGCCATACTTATTTAGTTAAAATTGTAGTAAACTCATCTACATTATAAAAAAATTCTCTAACAAGAATTCCTTAAGTTTTTTCTTAAAAGAATTAAAAATGTGTTCATCTTTTATTGACTGGGGCAATTTATTATATAATTGTATGCCAGCATATGACGGACATTTTTGATAGAACGCTGTTCTATGATTCGGAATTCGTAACAAATTACCATGCCTGGTTTGGTAGTTATGATTATCTAAATTTTTACTAAATTCATTAATTTTTTTCCTAATATATATTATGCATTTATAAATGTAAATAGAAGGCAGTGTTAAAATATTAAGTTGTTGGAAATATGATTTGCATGATATTCTTCTATTAAGACCAAGAATTAATCTCAAAACTCTTTTTTGTAAAATGAAAAGCCTATTAGAGAATGATGAATTTCCCCACACAATTATATTATATGACAAATGAGAGTATATCATTGCGTAATATATATTTATAAGTTGTTGTTTGCCTAAAATATTTTTTAGTTGAAATAAAACATAATACCCACTATTAACCTTTTTACTAATATAATCAATGCACGATTGAAATGATAAGGTGCTGTCAAGAAAAGTTCCCAGAAATTTTGTAGACTCGGACATTGTCATATTTAGATTATCTGTTGTCACTGTTATTACATTCTCAATGTTATTAGTAATGTTAAATTTCATCAGTACCGTTTTCTTAGAATTTAATATTAGGTGATTTTGTAGACACCACTCATTAAATTTGTTATAGAGGAAATTCAATTTGTTTGATAGTTCCTCTAGAGAATTTGCACAAGAAGCCACTGACACATCATCTGCATATAGAACAATGCAATCTGCGTTTAAGTATGTTGGTAAATCATTTATAAATATAAGAAATATCAATGGTCCCAATACGGATCCCTGAGGAACCCCCATATCTACATTACCTTCATTTGAACAAGTTTAATTCACTTTGACAATAATTTTTCTATGTCTTAAATATGACATTAGCCAACTTAACACATTTCCTCGAAAACCTAAAGATTGAAGTTTAGTTTCCACAAAATCCAAATTTAAGCAATCAAAAGCTTGTGTAAGATCAAAGAAAAGTGCTCCAATAACTTTTTTGCTATCAAGGCGTTTGTATAAAAATTCAACAAAATCATATATAGCGCTCTCCGTTGATCTACCAGGGTAAAAACCATTTTGGCATTTAGTTATGATCTTATACTTTTCTAAGTAAGAAATCATCCTATTATACATAGCCTTTTCGACTATTTTACTTATGACATTTGATACTGTTATTTGTCTAGAATTGTTTAAACTTAGCGGATCATCTTTTTTGTATAAAGGAGTTATTAATCCTACTTTCAAATCTTCAGGGTATTCACCATCCTGAACGGAAACATTTATTATATTAGCTAAAGGTTCAACTACATAATAAGCAATATTTTTAATAATTTTAGTGGGTATGCAATCTACTCCAACAGAATTAGTATTTTTTAAATTTCCAATTATCTCTAAAACGTCTTGTTTATTTACTGGGTCAAAGAAAAACGAATTACTGTTACTCAGAACACATTTTGTACAATCTGTACTAGCGCTTCCAAAATACTTTTCATTCAATAATTTTACTGCATTACTATAGTGTTTAACAAAACTATTTGCTACCTCAAAATTATTTTCAATTATCTGTTCATTGATTTTTAATTTAATTTGTTGATTTGTCTTTATTCTGCCGCTTTTTTCTTTAACTAGTTTCCATACGTATTTTTGCATTTCAATAGGGTTCGTCTTATTGTCAATTGAATTTTGATAATAAAATATTTTATCACGTTTTAGTTTTTGTTTATAGTTTTTAAATTGAGTTTTGTATTCTAATTCTAAATGTTTATCATAAAAATTCTGTTTTAACCAATGCAGGTTTTTTAATCTATTACCCATTTCAATTGTCGCTGTGGTAATCCATTTACATTTCCTATTTTGATTTAAACCAACTATTTTCTTAACCATTGGACAAAATTTATCGATTGCAAAATTAATAGCACCATAGAAATCATTTAACATGTCATTAATATTTTGCAGATTACCAATAGCATTTTCACCCAGATTTCTAAAAGATATTTGTCTTTTTACAGGAGTAATTAATTCTGATTTTATATTTAAAATTAAACCAAAATGATCTCCTAGATTCAGATCATGAACAGTTTCGTTATAAGTATCTATAGGCATATTTGTAAATACGTAATCAAATTTTGATATTGAAACAGTCCCATTACTCTTTTTATCTGTATTTTGAATTGTCAAATTATAACATTGCATAAGGTCTAATAAAATATTTTTGTTGTTAGATTGAGTTAAGTAGTCAATATTCAGATCTCCACAAAGAATAACATTTTTATGCTTCTTTACACAATAATCTAATATTTCAGTAACTTGATTAAAAAATATATCTACATTGGCTCCAGACGGTCTATACATTACAATAATACAGTATTTTACATTTTTAACACAAATTTCTATACCACAACTCTCTGAATGCATTTCTACAGATAAATTTTTTACAATATCTATAGTCTTACAATAAATATCATTTCGGACCAAAATCATTACTCCGCCGTGTATACGGTTAGGTCGTACATAGTACTCAGCTATTTTAAAATCTTTAAAGAAAATACATGTATAATTGGACTCTAAACACCAAGTTTCTGAAACACACAGAATGTGCGGTTTGTATTCTTGAATTAATAACTCAAACTGTTCAATTTTATTTGTAATACATTGAGTGTTAACACATATAATTTTAAGAAAATATTGATTCTGGTACGAATTAAAATTAAAATTCTCGGTCTTGGTATCCAGTGTTTCGAAATTGAAATTTCTTTACGATGACACCTTTGGGCCAATAACTAGGGGTATATAGATTATTTTATAATTCGACATCAGCTTCTACTCTGTAAGAAGAATTACGCTCTTGTGAATTTAACTTCGTTACATTAAATTCATGTCCGGGTGATCTTTTTTCTAGGTATTTTTTAATATCCTCTGGAGTTGAAGTAGGTTTACAACGACCTACATATATCCACAGACGACGAGTTGATGCAAAGTTTCCAAACTCATCTGCCACATTTTCCTTTTGTTCATGTTCATTTGTTCCCGTACCCAATACAATTTTCTTGGGCCTCTCTGTATTTCTGCTTCGACCACGTCTAGAATAAGTCTGCTGGTGCGGTACCTTCGAATAATTACTATCTAATCGGACAATTTTTTCTTTCTCAACTGATTGTGATAGTGTCTCTACAATTGTATGCCCCGATAAAGTTGAAGAATCTAAATCTTCAGATTCTAATAAATTGTTTTTTAATAAACTAGCCGGATGATGTGTTAACATTCTAACCATCTCTATATTACTTTCTCTTAAATCGGTTATTTCTTGTTTCAGTATCTGAATTTCTGTAATCAGCACTTCTGTTTGTTCTTTTACTGTTTTTTGCAAAATGTCTTTAAGTTCTTCTAAACTAATTATAATAGTGTTTTTTCTAACCTCTGCTTTGGTAGTTGTACTTCTCGTCATTTTCGTATATCAAATTTATAATCAAGGCACAGAGCACAGATAAACACGTCCACTTCGAACAACAAATTTCTACCGATATAAACTATATAATGTTAAAAAAAAACTAGTGAATTAAATAAAATATGATAGTACTATAGTGTAGTAAATAAACTGTTTAGGTGAGTCACAGTTGCATAGATTAATGCATTATCTCTGCAATTTCACCATAAAATCTCTATTATTGCATGGAAGTCAATGGAGGACAATTTGAACATTTGATTTAAAAACGCAGTTTTGATTTTTTTGATTGTAAGAATGATAAAACAATTGATTTTTTTTAAGAATGTGATTTTTTTCATACACCGTTGTAAAGAGGCTTCCAAGACCTTACAAATGAAGTATCACTCAACCCATCTTCCCTATTTTGAGAGGTTGAAGCACCCCCTCATAGGGGGTTGCTCGTTCAAGCCTCAAATATACGTCAAAAGATGTCCCCCAAAGAAAATAATTCGACGTGTTTCGCGAATTTTTTCCAATTACTATGGGATAAGAAATATACGGGGTGGCTCGTCTGAGATGGAACACCCTGTATTTTAACTTCAAGGCATATGCTTATGTTTATTTTTAAAAACATGAAATCTATAAAACTATCTATATGAGTGATCATGTCAAAACACCCGGTCCACAATGTTGCCATATTATAACCTATCCATGTGCCTGTCATTTTCTACGGGTAGCCATTTTCTTTGAAATACTTAATGGTTATTTTATTTTTTTGCTTCAACTGCTAAGGTTATTTGGCCTCGTGTTCTGTATAGACTTTGTTACTATTTCCCAGCGCCACTTTAGGGACAGTACTGTTAATTAGAACCCAACAGTGAATGGTCGAGTGGGATATCCTACCAAGGTATCAGAATTAATTTTAAATAATTAAATTAAATGAAAAAATCCCGGCCAACGCTGGGATTGGAACCTGGGACCCTGGATCCGCAGGCAGAGACTCTACCACTGAGCCACCCACCCCCTAATTGTTATTGTTTCTTCTTTTTTATACTATAGGTACTTTGCCTTTGATTGTAAGAAATTTAGTCAATTTAATTTCACGCATGCTCATAACACTTAATAACTTTTGAAAAATTTATTTTGACATGTCCTCTTTTCAGACATGTCTGCCGAACTAGTATGTGGACATTTTCGAGCGACTATTTGAAAATAAACCTCATTTCATTATTCAAATGCAATCTACATCCTGAATTTTCTTTTTTGAACCTGTATAAATGAATAACAGTTGACATTTCACTTTGAAATAATAGGGGAAAGTCGGCTATATTGTACCAGCTCCTAAATTGTACCATTCCCGAATTTTAAAGAAAACGATACCTTAAGCGCCATCTTTTATTGCCACGAGGTTTTTTTATGTTGTATTTGAAGGTCATTAGTTAAAGAGAGTGTCGTTCCGCAACGGTTTCGAAGAGCAAAGTAATTTATACCTATTTCAAGTAAGTTTCGACTACATTTTCTTAAAGTTTAAAACAAAATCTATGATATTTAGGACTATTTGATTAATATAAGTCTAAAAGTAACTATATTTAGCACTTTTTCGTACAAATTTAAAATATAACCTCAAAAACTTAACGAATTGTGAATAAAAGTTTCCAATTTTGTCTAGTTGCCTAATGTGGACCACTAAGGTGTTTCTTAATCTGTACCGGTACAATTTAAACGACTCATGCATGTTTTTTTAGAATGCCAGAAAACAGAAAACAAAAGGGAAAATATTGTCAGTGGTCATGACAAGCCATTGCGAAATACGAAACAGGAAAATATGGTCTAAATGAAATATGTACCATGTACGAAGTTCCTAAGCCTACTCGCAAGAGACATCTAGCAGCAACGAATAAAAGGGCTTTAAACGGTAAAAAAATATTAGGTAGGTCTACAGTTTTCTCTGTTGAGGTGGAAGCAGGGCTGGAAAAACATATTCTTGCTTTAGAGGAAGTATTCTTTGGTCTTACCATTATGGACACCAGAAGAGCAGCATTTTAATTCACAGAAAAAAATCTATAAAACATAATTTTAGTAAAAGAATAGGCATGGCTGGGAAAAAGTGGTACTACAATTTTATGAAACGCCACCCAAACCTTTCATTAAGCCAACCAGTATCAACATCATTAGCACGTTGCAGAGGATGTAACAGAAAAAATGTTACAATTTCTTTAATAAACTTGAAAAAATCATTGATGAAAATAAATTAGATGCCACAAAAATATATATTGTAGAGGAGTCAGGATTCTCGACAGTCCAAAAAATTATAATCAAAAAATTTTAGCCAAAAGGTGCAAACATCAAGTTGGTACTATTGCCAGCGGAGAAAGAGGTGTCAACACTACAATGGTTGTTTGCCAAAGTGCCTCAGGTCAATTTGTCGCACCAATGATTATATTTAAGAGAAAACGAATGTCAGCAGAACTGACCATTGGAGCACCACCTGGCTGTTTGGTGGACATATCAGACACAGGCTACATGAACACTGAGCTATTTGTTACTTGGTTAAAAAAAATTATTGAAGTGGTTAAGCCTACAAAGAAAAATAAAGTTCTTTTGGTATTGGACGGTCATACTACCCATTCTAAAAATTATGAATCTATAGTTTTGGCCCGTGACAATGGTCTAATTATTTTACAATCACCAGGCCACACGACCCATCGGCTTCAACCCCTAGATGTTTCGGTTTTCAAGCCTTTAGAAACATTCTATAACCAAGCCATTGAAAAGTGGTTAAAACAGCATGCTGGAATGGGAGTTACGCAATTTCATGTTGCTTCTCTTCTTAATGAAGCTTATGGCAAAGCTGTTGCTATAGTACATGCTACGAACGGTTTTCGCAAATGTTGGATATGTCATTTAAGTTTTCTTGTTCAAATCTTGTTTTATTTTTAATATTACTAACTAATAAACTATTAAAACTAGTGATTATTTCAATCCAAAATAAAATATTATGTATGTAATAAAGGATAGTACAATTTAGGAAACAATCTGGTACAAATTAGGCAACCGGTTGCCTTAATTGTATCACTTGTAAAGGTTTTAAAAAAGTTAGATTTGAACCAGAAGACATTATTCTAAAATTTTGAAAAAAATATATGTTTTCAAAACTGTAATAAAAATTATGGAGCAATTTAAACTATTATTTTCCAAAATTTTTAATTGCTATAACAAAAAACGTCAGAACTGGTCCAAATTGGGCAACCTTACCCTATACACTGTAAGTTTACTCACGTTATGGGTAATGGTGGCACTCGTAGAATCTTCTTCGATATTCTGAACAATTTTGAGAGCATTTTCGCAAGCCTTGACGAGCTGTTGCGACTCCAGTCTTGTATGTTTTGAACCAAAATCAATATGTTCGTCCTTTATTTTGGTTCCACTGGCGCACAAACTTTCTACGCATTTCTCTAGTAAAACGCACATTTGCTGCAATCTAAAAAACGATAATTAGAGATTGTATGAAAGTGACAAACATTTTTGAAGCCGAAAGAAAAAGCCCTTTAAAATATGTGACAGTTTTTATCCCATTAGGGCGCTAAACTCAGAACCGTCATTTTGCTGAATTTTCCATATAATTTACCTTTTCAATGATGACCCATATTTTAATTTTTCTATTAAAATTGTAACTATTGATTAGAGTGACGGTTGGGAGGGGAATGAAAATTGATGTCTTTACGGTTTTAAAAAATAAACCTTCGAGATATTATGAGATATAGGTACTAACAGCCCTTAATCAGACACCCTCTGTAAAGGATGATCTAATTAAAAAACTACATTTCTTAAAACATAATTGGCAGGTAACTTTGAAGAAAAACAAACAAATTATCTACTAGAAACAACCTGTATTAAAATGTTTCGTCATTTTGATGGAGCAAACATATATTTTTTCTTAAATTTTAAATTACTTTTCCCTGACTTTAAAAAACTTAAAATTGTTTACACCATAAATTAATAAGTTATAAAATGGTTACAATAATGTTACTTTCATTTCATCATAAATCTTTACAAAATTAAATTAAAATTAAAAAAAAATATTAGGTTATAAAATATGATTTTTAATGATTATCAATCAATATTAATAGTATATTATTAAACGAGCAATTTATGGTAGCCATTATTCACGTTTGCGTCCCGAGCCGTAGGCGTGGGGCGCAAGTCACCCGAGTGTATAATGGCCATAAATTGCGAGTCTAATACTATACTTTGTCCACGACCATTATGGTTTCTTTATTAAATAAAAGTTAAGTGTAGAATGGAAAGTTTTTATTAAACATAGGTAACTAACTGTTGTTTTTCCACTTTTCAATTTTTCGATTTTCGATTTTTCGATTTTTGAAAATATCGTTATGAAAAGTATCGCCTATCTTTAGTTATCTACCGGAATGTGCCAGAATTTCAAAAGCGTTGATATATGGGTACTATATGCTTTTAGTTAGGAGGTAGAATATTGATTTATTATTAAGTGGTCGTGGACAAAGTATTTTATAAAGCAAGAATTCGGCTTTTACAAAATATATTAGATACTCCTGTTTCTAGGAACAACTTAAAGCAACACTATGTGCGTGACGGCAGCGCTAATTAAAATATGAACTAAAGGGCGATTTTAAGTATATTGACAGTATCATTTTTAATAGAATTCGTAATTAAAAAGTATATTTTTTGGTTTTAATAAAAGAATATGTATTATTTATAAAACAAGTGAAAAGATTCATCATATAAATATATAAATGCGAACGTATGGATGGATGTTTGTTGCTCAATCACACAAGAACGGCCGAACGGATTTGGATGAAATTTGGCCCAAATACAGATTTTAGGCTACTTTTTATCCAGAAAAATGTACGGTTTCCGTGGGATCGATTTGTTTTTGTTTTTCACATAGCAAGGGATAGGACATAATTTTTTGTATAGTGGTAGTATACATGAAAATTTGAAATACTCCTACTGAGCATAAATAAATAATGACGTGTTTCAGGATTTCTGTTTTTTTACATCGAAGCATTAGAAGCATCGATTTTTTTATAGGTAGGAACTGGAAAATTGGAATTATGGCTACTCATCACAAATAAATAATAGTGTGTTTCAGGTTTTTGGTTTTTCATATTTTAAGAGGGGAAAGAGAGAAAATGGGGGTAAGAGGGGACATAAGGGAAAGAAGGAAAATAGGAAAAATGAGGAAAGGAAGGAAAATGGGAGAAATTTGGAAAATGTAGAAAATGTTGGCGATAGGAATAAATAGGAATAAATAGGAATAAATAGGAATAAATAGGAATAAATAGGAATAAATAGGAATAAATAGGAATAAATAGAAATAAATAGGAATAAATAGGAATAAATAGGAATAAATAGGAATAAATAGGAATAAATAGAAATAAATAGGAATAAATAGGAATAAATAGGAATAAATAGGAATAAATAGGAATAAATAGGAATAAATAGGAATAAATAGGAATAAATAGGAATAAATAGGAATAAATAGGAATAAATAGGAATAAATAGGAATAAATAGGAATAAATAGGAATAAATAGGAATAAATAGGAATAAATAGGAATAAATAGGAATAAATAGGAATAAATAGGAATAAATAGGAATAAATAGGAATAAATAGGAATAAATAGGAATAAATAGGAATAAATAGGAATAAATAGGAATAAATAGGAATAAATAGGAATAAATAGGAATAAATAGGAATAAATAGGAATAAATAGGAATAAATAGGAATAAATAGGAATAAATAGGAATAAATAGGAATAAATAGGAATAAATAGGAATAAATAGGAATAAATAGGAATAAATAGGAATAAATAGGAATAAATAGGAATAAATAGGAATAAATAGGAATAAATAGGAATAAATAGGAATAAATAGGAATAAATAGGAATAAATAGGAATAAATAGGAATAAATAGGAATAAATAGGAATAAATAGGAATAAATAGGAATACATAGGAATAAATAGGAATAAATAGGAATAAATAGGAATAAATAGGAATAAATAGGAATAAATAGGAATAAATAGGTATTAGATACTGTTGTTAAAAAATAAAAGTTTGTAACTACTTTTTCCTTCTTACTGCAGTTATATGTAAATTTATTTCTTTGATTTAATTTCCAAATTAACACTGTTATTTTTTATTGCTAGTAATTTTAGAATTTACAACACAGCAACTCGGGTTGCTCATTGTATTGCTTTTAAATATTTATTAAAAAAATTAAATGGATATGTTAGGGTTAAAGGATTCACTTGGCTAGTTTATAGACTAGCTGGATAGTATACAAACTATCCAAATGTCTGGCTATTTTGATGGAAAATCATATTTCTACTAAAATAGCTATGAATATTGTTTGATTTGTATACCATTCAGCTAGTTTACATACTATACAAGATTTATCGGCAAAGTAGGAACCACAAAAAGGTACACAAATTAACTGGTGTTTTGGCTAGTTGACAAACTATCCTTAGTATTTGGATAAGGTGTGAACTTAATATTCGTAATAATACATAATAACGAGTCGGTTAGTATGTAAATTGACCAACCGTCTTCGGTTAATTTATTAGAAAAGTGAGGTTATGTTTATGATACCTAAGCGTGTGTGGTTTACTGCGATGTCTTGTGAAATTTGTTTAGGAATAGATATTTGGTTATTACAAATAAATCACCCATTTGAAGACCTACTTTAGAAAGTTTACGAGCAAAAGTCACAAAATTCAAAATGAGTGACATTAATTCCTAGTGAACTTTTACGTCACATTTGTTTTTTTACCTATTTTTCAATAGTAATATTAATGTTATGTTGTACCAATAAATAAACCTTACTTTTTGACCAAGAAATATTTTATTGGTTGGTCCGACGAGTTGGTTATTATGATATGGAGATGCTTCCGTAGTTGGAAATGTCCAGTCAGAATGCCTGTGATCAGGCGCAGATTCTGTCTAGTCATAGTCAAGTATTTGTTCGCTGTAGTCTGTAGTGTTGTCAGGATAACTTAAAAGCTCCCTGGCAAGTTTGCAGCTTCTTGTTTCATCCCATCTTTCCTTGAATTTCACAAGGGAATGTTCCTTAATAGGTCTGTTACTGCCGATGTTGTCAGTCCAAGAGAAGGGCCAGGTTCAAAAAGTATTTGGCAAGTGAATCAGCGATGTGGCGTGACCTTAGATCCATATTAAGTTGACCACATTATTGATGGGTACTTCGGCCAAAGCTTCGTACTAACCCTGAATAACTTCGTGGTCTGTCCAGGGTGAGTAGTGCTTGTCTGCTATCTGTATAGATGGGAACTACACTGGCTACTGCTCATAGCCCATTTTATGTTTAAGTTTAAGAATCTGGAGTATATTCCACATCCTGGGCCTTGTTTAGTTTTAGAACCTTCGGTGTAGATATGAATCATACCTGCCACTCCCACTCTTCTATTTGTTCTGTTATAACTTTATATAGCTTATGAAAGATATATCTCAGTGGGATGGAGTCCATGTTCGCTTGAAGCAGTGGGGGCGTATTTAGCGCCTCCTTTCAAAAGCGACGACTCGCCCCACCAGATCCTACATCAGTTTCTATTCCAACCTTGCGAAGGCTAGTCATTGTAATCAGAGCAACCTCCTTAATGTAAATATCAAGGGGAGTAAGACTAAGAATGACTTCCATGTAGGGGCGGCTACCCTTTAAGGCCACATGGCCGCGCGCCCCTCCTTAAAAATACCAGACAATAAAATACTAATTAAAAATATTATTTATTTGTTTATTTTATAATTTTTCCGATCGTCTCGACACATGCTATGAGTGTTATTTATTAGGTCCCTTCTAAATCCTTCCTATAATAACAATTTTTGAGCTCTTTGACTAAATTATAGCCGACCGCAATAAGATTGAGGCCCTCGTCTCCATGGAAACGTAGTGGGACACGCACTATCGAGTATGTCTTACAGTGGGCAGTTTTAGTGCAGAACAGGGGCCCAATTCCTGAAACTGTGCTCTAAACGCCGCAATCGGATGCGACGTAAAAGTTGTATTCTTGACTACCCTTCGTTAGGGTAGTGTCGTGCCGCATGGTGTAGAGAAGAGCCTTTGATTATTACAGCAGTTCAATCGTTTTCAAACAATAAAATTTCATAACATTGTAAAAAAACTGTATTATCGGCTAAAAAAATGTAAAAAAAATAACCTGTGTGAGTTTTAAATTAGTAGTTTCTATCACTATTAAAATAAATTTGAATAGGTATTTGGAAATGAAGATTGATAATAAACAGAAAACTTTAAAATTAGCAAAATACTTTTATAAACTGTCTATCTGGTAACAAAAATGGATCCTGCCGTCCGATGTAATTAAGAGGTTGTAGTTCTGCATCTAATTGAGCCTCTTTAATATTTTGTTTAATTGTATAAAGTCAAATTCCTCTATATCGTCCATTTTATAAAAAATGTACACTTGTAAATACAATAATTAAGTAAAGTTAATGTCATAATGACTAATGAACGCTTGGTAATTATGAAAAATCCATTAAAAAAATAAACTAGGAAGAATAATTATATTTTATATTAAATGTATGTGACAGTGACAAGTAACATGCTTGGATACACATAGTTACCGCATGCGAGATAAAGTTGTCGAATGGCCAAGACCGTTCGTTGCAAATCATTCGCCAAGCGACGCATGCGGGATCACTCGCATACGGCAAAGCCTTTCAAGAATACCATTACCATCCGAGACGATGACGAACGCCGTCAGGAATTAGGCCCCAGGGCGCATTTTTTTGCGACGGACCAGCATTTATAATTGGCGACTGTTTTTCTTTTTTTAAATGATTTTATAGTTTTCACGGAATTTTTACGAAGCACCATGCTAAATGATTGACTAAACGCCTTAGCTATGATATCAATAAATAGAAATTTAATTCTGGAGATAAATAATTTCGACCAAAAAATCATGGAAAATTTTATTACTATGAGGGATCTTACATTTCAATTTCAGGACGAACTTTCAAAAAAAACAAAAAATTAAAAACAATATAAATATATCGATTTCATGTTTGTTTTTTTTTTAGAATAATTATTTTTATAAGATGTTTTACTATAAGATATACAGGTTAAAATTTAACCACATTTTACACTGGGCCAGTTACCGAATTTCGGTGTGGTTTTTCAATTATCTAAGCTGCAAGCTATGGTGGAGACTTGGGACTGGTCTGTTGCTGTCCCTTATTAATTTAGTTTACTTTTCATGTGTCTTCTAAAGTTTTTTTTTTTTTTGACGATGTCTTTGATGATGGCTTAAGAGGCCGAAAGGGCTCAGACGAATTTTTTATAGTTTTATTGAATAAAACTCAATTTTTACACACTTTAAATACTCTATCAATTCATTTATTACCCAGTGTGTACACACCACTCAACCTCTTCAATATTTCATTTTGTTAATAGACTATTAACAAGGCGCAGTAGTGTGGTATTTTTTCTGTTAGTGAAAAAAAAACAAATATTCCATAATACCCACCCACAAGCCGATTGGCGCCCCCCTTCACCTTCGTAGCTTACGAGCCACCACTGCTTCCATGGCTCTAGTTATATTTTGAAGAATTTTATAATCTTTTAGATAACTACCGTAAAAAAAAACTAAACTTGTAACATTAGTAGAGTAGCTGGGTTTTGTAAGCAACAAGAAATGTGATTAAATTGCATGGGAACTCAGTTATCAGGTTATAGCAGGGGGGGATATCGGGCATAGTGTCATGGCAGCGCTGACGTCATGTGTAGAGTTAGTAGAGTTGGCGCCAAGTAAATATCATATGACAGATGCACGTTGCAGTGATTTGTAAGTTATTAATAGTGATTTATAACATTTTAAGCGAATATCTGTATTATATTATATTGTAAAGAGTGTTCTTTGTGAGTGGTATTAGTGATAAACAAAAAAATGAGGTACAATCAAAGCAAAGGAGTTGAAAAAGACGTTGTTTTTCACTCGACAGTAAGAGGTTAGTCAGAAATGGCCAAAGGGCGGCTCTAGTTGTAGGTCCCAGGGAACCTCGCCTCTTTCTTAATTAACATTTTTACATTCCATGAGGCATTTATTGAAAAATAATACTCAAAAGGGAAATGTTATAAGCAATGCTACCCACTCCTCCTAGAAAATTTGACGAAGACGCCCTTGCAGTGGCCTGTGGCCGTGCAGATAGCTTTAAAACAGAAAATTTTCATAGGTGCTCCAAGCACTTTTAACCTTTTAATTATTATAAGATGGACCTCAAAGCAACTCAGGACTTCTTAACTGAGAACTCTACCCTTTTGAAAGCCGAAACTTTCGCAATATATAGCAAAGGTGAAATTATTTATGTCGCAAAAAAATAAAATTTCGACATGTTGTACTTGATGAAAGAATTAAAAAACTATCGGTGACTAGGTCCAGGAAAAATGCAGTGACATTTCATTTTAATTTTGTATATACACCCATCATGTAGCAGTTATTTATATTTAGTACCTTTATTTTTATGCTTTGCATTATATTATATGTATAAAATAGTTATTTGTATGCTTAGGCTGCGAAATACCTTTTTAACGTACCGAAAGAATAGTTATCGCCGAGGCCGCTTGCGGCCAAGGCAAGATAATCTTGAGGTCGTTAAAAAGTTTCGCGGCCATGGCATAAACACTATTTTTCGTGCAATCGTTAAAATTATTAAACTAGATAATTGTAAATAAATATATTATTGCTCTAAAATCAACAGCAGTTCAATTTATTTAACAATGTCACCGTGTGCTATGGAAATGTTCAATACATACAAAATATTTTGACAGTTCTTGACAAAACGCAAAATGTTTGATACTGATAGCAATATTTCAGTACCTTCCACTCCTCCTAAACTCAAGAGAGTTGTAAATTCAGCGATTTCCGTTTTAATACCCGAAAATAAGAAGCAAATTTCCAACTTAATTTCTGGCGATATAGTATCTGGTTTGAATGTAGGCCACATACTTTGATTTTCTTTACTATACGGCGCAAGAGAGAGGCCCGACACGCCCAACATAGGGCCCGGCCATTTTGAACCCTATGCAACAGTTTATAGCTAAAGAATCAGATCGCTCACTCTGCGTCGGCACTTTTGATCTCAATGTTCCAGTTTATACACTGCGCAACTCGGATAATACAATATATAACAACCGCCTATAATAAAACAGCTGTCTTCTGCGTATCCTAAATTTGTATCCCTGGAGTGGATCTTATTTTGAAACTTTCAACTGGTCCGAGAGAGCTAACTGATTCTTTAGCAATAATCTGTGACTCAAAAAATAATATTCACTGACACTGACAGCCGCAAGCAAAATATCAGGTGCGTTTTAATCATCCGCTTCTGCTTCCGGAATTGTCGGTTTAGTCGTTTTAACTTGTCAAATTAAAACAAGAAAACCGACAATTCCGAAGCAGAAGCGGATGATTAAAACGCACCTATTAAAAATATTGCGCCAAGATGTAGGCCACACGTAATAAGGGTTCAAAATGGCGGAGTTTTCTATTTCCTTTTAAAAGGCACTCAGAAAGCTGCGCAGTGCGACCATTCTCCGTATAGTAAAAGAAAATCAAAGTATGTGATGTAGGCAATAAGCATTATTCAGAAACACTAGATGTAGTTGCTTCAACTTCTGGAGTAAATATAAGTAATAATACAAACTGTACAATTAATGTTAATATTCATCCTAAATAATATAAGTACTTATATATTTGTTGGTATTCAATAAAAAATAATCCTTGTCTTTGTAATATTTTAGAAATGTCAAATTTGGAAGTGATATTCAAATTTGGAAGTGACGTTTGGTTTCGCAGCCGTTGCTATGGGTAACGGCCGCGAAATTAAATTTCGCGGACTGTGCTGAGAACGCGAAATACTGACTTCGCGTGCGATTGCACGAAAAATATTTTTTTTTATGTATAAAAAATATTTTTGTTATCGTACATAAATCCCATCTTATTCATAAAATAAGTATATTCAATCAAGTAATATATTGCAGATAAATGAGTCATCAGTTGTAAATCCTAATCAGGTAAATAGTCCCAAAATGCGAAATTTTAACCCAGGGTCCTCAGTTGAGAAATTCCGAGTTGCGAAGATACCCTTCTCATTATCCTGGTTATAGAAACTATTCTTTAGACGTCGAATGTTCTTTTAAATTAAAACCAGCATTAAAATTTATATAACAAAAATAAATCATTAAAAAGAAAAAGGAAAAAAACTGATACTTCAAATAAATATTTCTTTCATATATGTATTTGAGTTTATTTTCCTTTATAGCTTTCTTTAACTATCCCATAATAATATCCTTAGATACTTGATGTCATTTTTAAAATATTATCCTTTAATATTTATGAAATTTCTGTAAATAGCATTTAGTTTCCTCATAATTCGACAGTATTTTTAAATTCCCGTCTATACAAACTGTACGCATGACTGCGCGTGGTCGTCCTATTTTTGACAATGTTGATATCCTACCTTTTTTTTAATCCATGAGGTTATAGTAATATTGAGACAAAAGTATGACAGCAAGTGATTTCCGAAAATAGAATAGTCTAAATTTCGAAAAAAATATTTATAAATATCTCCCACTCATTCATTCTGTAGTTTGTTCGCAAAGCGGATAATATAGATGTGGGTGTAGACAATAAAATATATTTTATCACCAAACGTCAATAAAGCCGTGTATTACCATAGCAATTTTCGGAAGTAAATAAACACTTTAACTTACTGTAAAAATCAAACACTTTACCTGCCGGTAATATTTATCAATATAGCCATGACTGATTGACATTAAATAGAAATCGTTTGTCACTGTCACAGCTTCAACAGTAAAGTTTTTTTCGTGAATTATTTATAGAAAATAATGGAATACATTTCCCGCATGGAAACTGGGACGTTTACAGGAAAATTATATTTAATTTTTCTTAATAATTAGTTAACATTACATGTCTCACATTTTACTTTATTCTGAAACATCTTTTATAATAAATATCATTTAATGATATAGGTTATACGCCATAAAAGTGTGACGTAATTTTGGTTGCACTGAGAGTGAATTCTAACCAAACTTTTAACATACACGTTTTTAGTGTTTTTTTTTATTATTAAATATGAAAAGTAGTTTGAAGGTAATTAGTTACTAAATGATTATATACTTGACGCATGTTATCTACTTACTCTAGAAATATATTTATAAAAGTTTAAAAACAATATAATTTACTCGATAATTTATGTAAACAAAGCGAACAAAACGCACTAAAAAAATGTCACTGTAATTGTCAGTGGAACCAAATTTACGTCATCACTAATTTAGCGTATTGAAAGTACACTTTTATCTCCAGATAAAATGTTTTTATTTTTTTATTAATAATGCATACTTACATCTGCATATTCTCAAGGGTTGCTGGATCCGCATCGAACGTCGTCTGATACAACTTCCAGTGCAGGTCGCCGCAATTTTTGAAATCTTTGACGCATTTTCTAAGCTGATTTGTTATGTAACCGTGCCGCTGATATTCGTCTCTTGTATTTTGAACAATGGTTGCCGCAATAGCGGGAGGAGGGACAATGCATAAAATATTGCAAGTGTATATTAACTGGAGAAGGCATTGAAGGTATTCTGTGCGAATTTTCATGTACTCTGCTTGAAATGTCAGATTGTTCTGTGGAGTACTAGCAGCCTTTAAAAAAATAGTTTTTTTATTGGTGAAAATATGGAAAAATTATGGAGTGTATGAGAACTGTCTATGTGTTACAAAGTGTCCCTAAAAAAGTAGAAAATTAAGATGGCGTTACTGTACCAGAATACTGTTTCTAAAGCGCCGAGAATTGTAAGAGTCGATAGTAAAATTAGAGAAAGACTTACATCAGCTTTCTAAACCAATACCTGTCTTTTTATTTTTTTAAACTTTTGCGACCACTTGAACAGCTTCTGATTGCACACATTTTTTCCATTTTGATATAATATTTATAACATTACAATAAAAATTTTAATGATATCAAAATTTGACTCACTTTTCATGGTCTAGTTTTTAAATAAAATAAGTCAACTAAAGTTTTACTTGACTACGTTAGCAGTTGAGCTTTCCTTTATGATAATTTTACCAACACGAGCGTCATCGCTATTTTATACTTTTTGGTGGACACTTGTTGAGTATAACACCCATATGTCCTTCTTAGCTCTACACTCAATAGGAAAAATTTTTCTAAAGCAGGCCATTGACAATTCTTCTTTTTTTAAATAACAGGTGTGGATATCATTCATAGCGGTCTGTCATGAGCATGACTCGTATCTCTAACTTTGTCGGTAATAATAATAATCATTTATTATCAACAGATTCACACCCAATTACAGAGAATATACTTACAATTCTACAATATATAATTAAATAAAAGAAAAAAATGTAAATAATAAACTCAAGCTAAAGACAAGATAAGAAAAAAAATATAAATGGAGCAGATAGAAACAGGTACCCAAGAATAGTAAATAAAATGTCAATTAAACAAATCAAAGACTAATAGGTGCCTCAAACAAAAGGAACGATTCCTTATAACAATTAATTATTGATTTTATATCGTCGACATATATATCACATAGATGCCCAATACCATTAAATAATTGGCTCATGTTGTAAATTGGTAATTTAATTAGTACATTGGTTCTTAGTATAGCGCAATGAAATATGCGTGAGTTCGAGGTACTAAGAGCGTTAGTTGATTTAACAAACAGCTACAATCTATTTTGTTTGTTTAATAAAATGTATAAAAACATTAAAGCCTTGCAGTTTCTTCTCTTCGCTAGGGGTTCCAAATTGAATGTTTGTATATGATCAAAACCCCTAGGAGGATAGAAGCCACTGTACTTAAAATACATGTACTTTAGGCATTTACGTTGTACAGATTCTACATAGTTAATTGCATTCTGATATATTGGATACCATATCAATGACGCATATTCGATCTTAGTTCTGATAAATGTGATATATAAAAGTCGTAGTGTATTTACATCTGAAAAGCTACCCCAGTTTCTTATAAAATATCCCAGTAGCCTGTATGCAGAAGAAACAAGTTCTGCAATATGATTATTAAATTTAAGTTCGCTATCAAAGACTATTCCTAAATCATTGAACGTTACACATCTATCCAAAGTGGTATTGTTAAGAGAGTAATTGAAAATTATGGGATTTTGTTTTCTATGAAATGATATTACTTTACATTTAGTTAGTTCAGCTGTAGATAATTATCAAGGTACCAGTTATAAATTGTACTCAAGGCGTTTTGCAGTAAGAAACAATCTTCATCGGATTTGATTTCAATATAAATTTTTAAATCGTTGGCAAAAAGTAAATGTGGTATGAAGAGTTGACTTGATATATCGTTTATAAAAGCAAGGAATAGTAAGGGTTTCAGATTGAACCCTTGAGGAACACCTAATAATGAAATATATTTATTAGACCTCGAGCCACCATACTCTACAAACTGGTATCGATTTAGCAGATATGACTCCATTAACTTCAAAAGAGAATTCGAAAAACCAACAGATTTGAGCTTTAATAATAAATGATAGTGATCGATTCGGTCAAAAACTTTTTTTATATCAGTATAAATAACATATACTTGATCGACAGAGTGAAGTGTGTTTGATACATACTGTGTTATATAGGCCAAATTAGATACAGTCGATCATTTTGACATAAAACCGTGCTGAAAGTTAGAAATTAATGGTTTCACTTTATTATAAACGTTTTCGTAAATTATCATCTCAAATAATTTCCCAAAGTTACAGAGTATGGCTATGGGTCTGTAATTATCTATAGCAGAGCGATCACCGGATTTATGAATTGGACAAATTTTTGCAGTTTTCCATACGTCAGGATAAGTTTCCGTTTTTAAGATTAGGTTAAACAAGAAGCAAAGAGGTTTGGCAAATGGATAGGAACAGTCCTTGACAACAAAACTTGGTACAGTCTGTTCACTATACTTACGCGGGTTTCGGATTAACAAAATTATGCAAATTAGTCATTGACAACCAGTTCCAATTAGAAATTAGGTAAAATTGCCCTAATGGTCAGATTTAAATTAAAATAACATTAGGGTAGGTACTAAATTTGTTACAAATATTGCAGTTGAATTGATTCTTTGATTTCTTAGTGGAAATTTTAAAAATGCCTAGACGTGTGTTAAATGTAGATAGTCTAATTTGTAGTGTACATAAGTATTTTACGGATGAAAAAGAAAACGGCGGTCCTTTAAAATCGGTAATGTCTGTACAACAACGCGTATGCGATGCTCTAGGCATTAGTGAAACCAAATTAAAAGGAGTATTACAAAATCACAATAGTGAACTGCCGAAAGAAGATCACCGCAAAACTCGCCCATCATTGAAAACGAAAGATATACCAGATGGAAAGAAATTTGAAATTCGTGATACCATTTATCGAATGAGGGCCAACAAGGAACATGTGACCTTAAATATAATTCTTTCAGAATTAATAGATAGAAAATTTGACGACATTGGCAGAATAAGTCTATGGCAAGTGATACATAACTTGGGTTTCAAATTTCAAAAGGAGGATAACAGAAAGGCCCTTTGTGAAAGAAGTTCTATCGTGCACAAGAGAATTCACTTTCTAAGAAAATATTCTAAATTTAAAGAAGGGGTGAATTTTATATATTTAGACGAAACATGGATATTTTCTAGGGGTGCAACCAAGAGAATATGGCAAGATGATAACGTAAAGTCTATCAAACATACCGATGGAGAATGGAAGCGACACATAATTTTACTTGCAGGAGGGAAATCGGGTTTTATAGAAAGTGCTGATTTAATATTTTCATCTAAATCAAAATCCAGCGACTATCACGATAATATGAACACAGAAATGTTTGTAAAATGGTTGCATGAAAAACTTCTCCCAGGTTTAAGTGAGTCCAGCGTAATTATTTTAGACAATGCCCCTTACCATTCTGTATTAAACAAAAGTCCAACGAATTCTTGGACTGTTGATAAAATAAAAGAATGGTTGACAAAGGAACATATACCATTTCCTCAATATACCGGGTGTTCTAAATTAAAGCGTTACAGCTATATACCGCTTTTTATAAAAAAAAACGTTTCAGACGAAAGTTTTATAGTTTTGTAGGGAAAAACTTTTGGCTAAAATCGTTTTTTATAGCTAACCATAATATGGCCACCTTTTTTTTCGCGCAGCAACATTTTTAAGTAGCTGTTACTCAAAAAGTAAAAGTCCAATAAAAAAATATTTTTCTCAAAAGTTTCTTATTTTTTTATGTACTTTAAGAATATGTAAGAAAAAATTGAATTTAAAAAAACAAAGTTCACCTCGATATGGCCATATTATGGTCAACTATAAAAAAATGAATTTAGCCAAAATGTTTCCCCCAAAAAACTATAAAACTTTTGTCTGAAACTTTTTTTTCTAAAATGCATATTTTCGGCGGTATTTAACTGTAACACTTTAATTTGAACACCCGGTATATTAAAATCAGAATTATTACGCTTGGCAAATATACACGCAAAACCAAAAACCTTTGTTGTGGATCAGATTATTGAAAGTTACGGTCATCAAGTTTTACGTCTGCCACCGTATCATTGCCAGTTTAATCCCATCGAATATATATGGGGAATAGCAAAACAATAGTATGACAACCATATTGGGCCTAATGGTTATAGTGACGACGCAGTTCGGCGAAAAGCACTTTCAATTGCAACTCCAGAAGTGTGGCGGAACTGTATATCCAAGTGCGAGAAACTAATAGAAGATTGGTGGACTCGTGAAAATAAAATAAACGAAATAAGTCCAATCATAATAACAATTAATGGTGATGACAGTGATGATGATGACGATTATGATGATGATGACGATTATGATATTTTGGATGATAATGACTGATTTTTATTTTTGTTGGCAAGTTCATTTTTTTTTATTTTTCATTTGAAATTCTCTACATTGAACAAATTTTTATGTTAGAAATTATTTTATTTGAGCTAAATAACCCTCTTATTATACATAGACCATATTTTCTGTGTGAAGTGTAATATAAAATTATTATTAGGATTATAATAGCCACCATTAGACTCCATTAATGAAGAAGTTTAATTCTGCTCTCAATTATACATAAACTTCTCCATTATTATTTAATTAAGAAGTTGTACATTATTTTTCATTTCATTTAACCAGTTGATATTTCCCCAAAGAACAGGTCAAACTTTCGGGTACTTACCTGGAAATACTCATCAAATTTTTAATCCGAAACCCGCGTAAGTATAGCGAACAGACTGTACATTATCTACTCCCGCGGTAAATTTGTTTTTAAGTTTTTTTCAAGCTAAAACTATATCGGTTTCAGATACTGAGTCAATACAAATATGCAAATTAGACATAGAGACTGATTCGAAATTGGGTAAATGATTAGAAGGTTAATAAACACTAGAAAAGAATTCAGAAAAGCCATTTACTATAGACTGAGACATTTCATAGACTGAATTATTTAACTGCATTCTACCAGGAATTCTAGATTTGTTTTTTCTATTTATAAATGCCCAGAATTTATTTGATTCTAATGATACATCCCTTTCTATTTCTTGAACATAGGCTGCATAAAACGTTTTGATTTGTAGCTTAATTAAGGATCTTAGGTTTCTAAATGTTTTGTAAAGAATTATCAGTTTTATACTTTTTAAAGTTTCCGCGAGCTGAATCTTTTAAACGGATATTGTTTATAATTTCTTTGGTGAACCAAGGCGGGTAATATCTTGAATTTCGCGACTGTTTTTGTTTATATGTGGGAACACATTCATTAAATATGTTGGTAAGAATTTCATAGAATGTGTCACATGCCTCGTTAATGTTTTGATACTGCTCTATACTATTCCAATATTGTAGCTTAATATACAATAACGTGTTAGTGCTTGATTTATATTTTTAAATTTGCGCGCCGCGCCACTTGCCAACCAGCGTTTTGAATGTTTTGGTCCAAACATGCTGGGTAAGGAGCAGGATGAGTTGGCCATAAGCGGCAATCGCCGGTTGTATTCTGACAATAAAATGAGTTTATTTGAATTATCGTGTTTAAATATAATTGAAAATGAGTCTGAGTGATCTAATTTCGATAAACAAATAAATAAACTTAAGGTAGTTCACTCGCGACAGTCGTACATAAAAATATCGCTTAATGGTGAATACCAATAGTTCGAGATTCTCAATGCTAATCAATTTTATTTTTGTAAGAGACTGTACAAAACACATGTAAGCTTATATATATGGATTTTAATAAAATCCATCCGGCAACCTCTTAAATACATGAATGGTTTGCTATAGAAATTTGTGACTTCCTCATATTACTTTTAAGGGTTTGTTTTGGTTCAAACAGAACCGCTGGATTCCAGTTCTCAAATACAGTGGACGAATTAATTTTTCAAGAAAACGTCGCGAGGTTATAACATCCTCTTAGCTGATCGAGTGTTATAGACCAAGAGCCCAGTGCCCCCAGACATAACTTATTTTCTAAAGGACAAAATGTGGGGCATCAAGTAGTGTTTATATATGTATTGAATGCCTCCATACCTGCTAAGTTGGTTAGTGGGCCAATTCACAGGTACCAGGTGAGAAAGGTAACTATAAATAAGGTTAACTTTACTTATTTTCTAAAGACTGATTTTTATATATATTCCATAAAATATTATTAGAAAATAATATTGAACATTGCCAGACACTTTCCGTGGGCCATAACTTCCGCTAGACGCTTTAAAGCTCCCAATTTTTTTTTTGTAACTTTACTTATATTCTAATGTCTGGTTTTTATATATAAGAACTATTTTAAACATATATTTATTCAGCCAGACTAATTGTAAGGGCCAAACACCCCCCAGACACCAAAAACATTCAGCCGTGAGTATACGCGACTGTACTATGCTCATGCTTTGGAGAGAGTGAGATACCTATACAAAGTTAAAAGTAGGAACTATTTAAATAATTATTACTTAAAAATATTAAAAGAAAATGTTTGTGTATAAAAATTTTGTGAAAAACGTCTTTTTAAAAAGTAACTTAGGTGTATAAAAATGTCATTTAAAAATATATAAATGTATCTCAATCGTCCTGGTCATCATTGTTGGCGTCATTAGATTATTCATCATCAAACCAATCATGATCGTCTACATTGAAGTATTCATCATCATCATCGTCTTCCATCTCGTTATCGTCGCTAGCAGCTTCTTCTATAAAAACAAATCAACAAATTAGAAAACTTAGTTGTTTAAATTTAGAAATTGAAGTCAATGTAAATTACCTGTATTTTGCTGAAGCGATTCACTGACAAAACCCGGTAATTGGTCACCATCAAACCAGTGAACCTGGTACTGGTTGCCTTCCAATGTCCACCCGTTGTTTTCTGGAGTAAAAATGGTCGGTTGTTTTTTATGGGCATTATTCCAAATACTTGATATATAATTTGCCCGAAAAATTGTTGAAAAAGCTCAGTTTTGCAGGGTGGTAGATTGCTCGCATCAAAGTTTTTCAAGTTCTTATTGTTAAATTTCTCAGTTACATCCGAAACTTTGTAATTATTTACGAACAGCTGAAGTCGGTCAGCATTCACTTCAACTGTTCCAGTAACGTTGTAATTGTCACATATGAAATTTTGTATTTTGTTAAATATAATTTTTTGAACATCTGGATTCATAAATGACTTTAACTGGCCGAATTCTATAAAAGCTTGCTGATACTCTAATTTCTTCTTTAATATGTTGAATGGTCTTTGTTTTCCTTTCTTGAAGAAAGCAGGATTATAGTCACACCCAGTGAGAGCATGAAATCCGGGTAAGCTTCTACACAACGTCGGTCCTAAGTACTCATAAATCTTCGTTAAGTCAATATATCTTTGTTTATTTCCAGTACCTGTTAATATCCACACATTTGAATCGTAATTATTCAAATTGTGCATATTACCCAACATTATTGTTGTCATATCAGTATCAGAACACCTTATTACAAAATTAGCCTGAGTTTACTACTCGACGTTGCTCACAACCTGGCATAGACAATTTTCCGGTACATCAAACAGATTTTCCAGGAAAATTAGGGGAAATTTCGGATGAGACGATTTTCCGGGGAAAACATTGCTTAAAAGAGGAGATAGACGAATAAAACCTGAAAAAGAATTATCCGTATCGACGAGAAGCATCGATTGATGTATCACATGACATGTTTTTTCTAACAGGGAGAGGGGTGGAAATAAAAAAAAACGCAAAATATTTCGTTTTTTTTTTTTATTTTCGAAAAATTAAATGCAAAGGCGTTATTAAATATTTCTATAGGACGGTAAACATTTGAAATTTTCCTTCGAAAGGTAGTCGCACAGCTGTGCGACATGACTCCCTAGTATGTTCCTATTTAATTGTTTTATCAATTTAATAAAGCAACAACTCGATAATTTTAAATCACGCTTTTCCAGAGTAGATATTTCAAGCCACATTAAAAGATTTTATACGTGTTGCTGTTGTACCATCGATTTATATCTTACTCGCTCCAAAGCACGAGCATATAGTACAGTCGCGCATACTCACGGCTAAATGTTTTTGATGTCTGGGGGATGTTTGGCCCTTACAATTAGTCTGGCTGAATAAATATATGTTTAAAATAGTTCCTTAAATAACATATAAAAACCAGATATTAGAATATAAGTAAAGTTACAAAAAAAAATTTGGAGCTTTAAAGCGTCTAGCGGAAGTTATGGCCCACGGAAAGTGTCTGGCAATGTTCAATATTATTTTCTAATAATATTTTATGGAATATATATATAAAAATCAGCCTTTAGAAAATAAGTAAAGTTAACCTTATTTATAGTTACCTTTCTCACCTGGTACCTGTGAATTGGCCCACTAACCAACTTAGCAGGTATGGAGGCATTCAATACATATATAAACACTACTTGATGCCCCACATTTTGTCCTTTAGAAAATAAGTTATGTCTGGGAGCACTGGGCTCTTACTCTATTATGTTGGTACAACGCGTTGATTGCAGCGTATACGACGTTGCCAAGTTGTAATAATTTTACGGAACTACGCGTCGATTGCTTTAAAAATCTATATCTTTTTACTAAGACGGTCAAAAAATTCAGCGTTTCTTTAGAAAATTTTATAACTTCTTGATTTACATTACATTAGTTTTTAAAAAATATGGTAAGAACCGTTTTCGAGATATCTTGAAATAAATGCGTTACTTGTGTACATGAGAGGCTTCAAGAGTGTTAGTTATGCACATTTTGATTGTTAATATCTCGTTTCACAGTCGGTCAAAAAATTTAATTTTTTTTATTTACATAAAAGACACTTTCATTAACCTTATATTTCAATTTTATTGAATTCTTAAGAAAATCCGTTTTACGAGTGAACTACCCTAACAAACAAATAGTTCGCATGTTTAAAATTAAGCTTTGTGAAGGAGAAATCAAGTGTGAAGTTAGATGATTCAGTTGTCTCTAAGTTAAAACAAACGTTAAGTGCAGGATGGTAGAGATTGTCCTCCTTAGGGGACAGTAATCTCTAGTAACTTGACATTTAAAATTAGCGATAACTGATATTGTTTACCATTTAGAAAATGAATAAAATCCTTAATTAATCTTGTTTTTAAGTCATAACTGTCATAATAAAACATTGGAGCGTTAAAATCGCCAAAGATTAAAATTTTGCAGTTTAAACGAAAACAGTAATTCGAAAGCATCGAGAAACAATTCATAGTCGTAAATGATCGTGGCTGGTGGAATATACAGGGTGAAGACTACCAAAGTGAAATTATCTTTCGAGAATTTGCAACCAATGTCGATTCTGGGAAGAATATTTTTGATGTTTTCAACGTTGATTGTCGATGCGTTAAACTCATTTTTGAGCGCTAACAGTACACCACCTCCAGTAGTAACTCCCGTTGCAATAAAATTTCGATCGCTCCTGAATACTGAATATAAGCTGGGAAACAGTTCATTATCGTTTACGTTATCGGATAACCAAAACTCGGTAACACTTATGATGTCTGTTTCATTTGCTGATACAGAGTTATAAAACTCAACTACCTTTGTATTTAGACCTCTTGCATTATAGTAACTACATTCGATGTCTCGGTAAGTGGATGTATTAACTAGTTTAAAGAATAAATTGTTGAAATGGCCTGCTTTAGAAATATTTTTTTATGGTCACATGTTATTTCTAAGGGAATAAAAGTTATACATTAATTTCTCGTTTGTTTTACCTTTAATGCTGCTATAGCTTTATTGTAATGGGTGATAGCTGCGTCTAATCTGTTAACAAGGGTGCTTGATCCTTCTCTATAGAGCTGGGCTTCCGCTTCTGACAGTTCTTTTAGACAAATAAGCCAAAAATGAAAATGTTCTGAACTAACTTGTTCAGTTAAACCAGTAAAAATATATTTGGCGACCTAAAACACATATTATTCACGGTTCAAATTATTTTTGCCACGTATGTCATTTGGAATGGGCTTGAGTTGTTTGTTTACATTATGTGAGGCCTGTGTATTTTCGCTTTTTAATTAAATATAATACAAATGATACTTGCAATATCAGAACCATCTACATGTCAACAATATGCAGTTACATACATGCTCGAATTTCCTTACAATACATTGTAAATCATCAATATCACACAAGAAATAAAGTAAATAAAAAAATTAGTATTCCGGTAAGTCACAGAAACATTAACCTAAAATTTTTTAATTATTTAGCTCCGAAAATTTATAATATGCTACCACGCAAAATTGTTTTCAAAAGAATGTAATACATATACCTTTAACAACTATAACTTGTTTAAAGAATTATTTAAATAAAGTAAAAAACGCTATAGTCTTCTGTATATAGAAATAATTTAAAAAATTGTAATACGGCTTTAAGAGTCTTAAAATTACATAAAAATAAAGGTACGAATCGTAATGAGACACATACCCTATGCATCTAGCATCTAGGTGTCTTCAATAAAAGGTATATAACTTAAGATAATATTAATTGGTTGTAACATAATTATGTAACTATTTTTGTATTTTATAAAATAAATAGTTTTAGATAGGTATATATTAGCATTAAAATGATGTTTTCATAATTCGTTTAGTGATTTGCTATAGGGTGGCACAAAATCTATTCACAAATTAAAATTGCAAATTGATGTTTTCATAATTCGTTTAGTGATTTGCTATAGGGTGGCACAAAATCTATTCACAAATTAAAATTGCAAATTCTAGATAGAGCTCATAAAAAAATATGTGAAATACATTCGTATAAAAGTAAAAGGCTCTTTTCCCATTTTTAGGTTAGTATCCAAACTTGATATAATTAAATACTCATAGAATTGACCATTTTATTGTAGTACAGGATGCGTAAGTAAGGTCGACATTCACCCATCTGTTTAATGGATGCAATTTTCTATTAAATAAAATATGTTAATAAATATACCGCAAATGAATTGCCTAAGAAAATACGGTCACAGGCATTTTTTACTTTCCCTTCTGTATACAGATAAGGAAAGTATAGGAATTATGATAAAAGTTGCTTATGATGTCATGCATTCTCTATAATTTTGTTTCTATAGATGATTTCCTTAAAATTGACTTAATTTTGAAGATAACTCAAGAACGGATAAAGAGAAAAACACTAAATTTTAAACTTAAGCTTCAATCCATTCTGCGATGAGCTGATTAAAGTTTGGGAATAGTTGAAGGGTCTGGGGAATATTTTACAGGGTGTTGTTTATTACTTTAAAAAAAATAAATAGTCAACCATATTTTCTTAGGCAACCCATTTGCGGTATATTTATAAACATATTGTATTTAATAAAAATAAACTTTTATCCGTTAAACAGATGGGTGAAGATCGATCTTACTTCGGATTTTAGACCATTGTAAATTATCATTTTTTTTTTGAAAATAATTAAAAATTAATGTTAAACTTTATTTTTTTCGAAGAAGTCTAACTACATCCATAAACACAACAATACAATAGAAACTGCGATTTGTTACAAGCTTTTTTGTAAATTCTAATAAAAACTTTTAAAAATTGAATAACCATGAATGGCCACAACTATCACTAACCACAAGCAAACGTGCCAGTGTTTCCAACTGGTTTTTAAAGCTTTTTTTTTTAATTAAAGCTTCAAATAACTATGAAGTATTATCACATATTGGTAGATACAAATTCCACTACTTAAAAAAAGATATTTCTATCACTATGCCACTACAAGGGCTGAAAATCTACAGAAGGTATATTGCTTAGCTTAAATTGTCAATACAGTCGCGCAAAAGCCAACCCTGTGCTTTGTTTACTCCTTGCCCGCGGTATGAACTCTAGTGCTGACATATAGACAAACGCACTGCTTCTCGAAACTACCAGAAAAGCGGTACGTGGCCATTGAGTCATAGAGATGGAATTTTCGACATTCGAGATCGTCTAGAAACTACTAGCATAGAGTTGGCTTTATATAAATAGCGCGAGTTGTCGACAGACGGACACTTAAAAGTGTTGGGCAAAAAAGATAAATTGTAATAAATAAATTAGAATTGTGAGTTATAATAGTGCCTAAGTATTATATAAATTAATTAGTATGTTATAAATTGTAAATAAAGTGTTTTAAATAAATAAATTAAACAAACGTTACAATACAGACATGTATTTTAATACACCCATCAATAAAATGTAAGTGACAAACAAATGAGAGAGACCTTCTTACCTTATGATGACCATATCGCATTGCTGCTCTAGCAATACAGTAATTTGCCCATAAATTATTACTGTCAACTACTTTAATGATAGTTTCAAAAGTATTGTCGTTCCACTTATACCCTGATAGGGTTTGAAATATAAGAGTACAAAGCATAGTTTTGGTTTGGATCTGAAGTACTGAGGGAGCGGAAACTTCTGCTATGGCTTTGAGAAGATTCAAAATCGTGTCAATTAGCGGAAGCAAAGTTTCAGCTTTGAGACTGCCAATCGCACCTAGAGCTTCACAAATTGTAAAAGTATAATCACCTAAAAAGGTATGTTAAAATGAATCTATACAAAATAAGTAACGTTTTATTTACTGTCGATATTATCTAGTCTTGTCCCCAGCAACTCAACAAACACTTCACAATATTGATGTTTAGCTTCGCATAATCTAACGGCACATTTTAAAACTGTTTTTAGTTGTGTCGAATGTTTTTCTTTGATAAAAGTTAATAGCAAAATCAATGTTTCCAAAGCAGCTATGACTTCATCTTCCCCATCTGTTTCCAAATTTTCTCTGTAACTATAAGAAACATAATCCTAATTATCTAGTTTATCCTATATTCAAAAACCTATAAAATAGAATGAAGATTTAAAATGTCAATTGATATTTACCAGTAGCAAAATATTTGGCTGATGATCTCTATCGATTGGGCAGCAATTTTAGGTTCTGGTGAGTAGCAATTATTACTACACAGTTCTCTAAGTTTCGATCCAGATGATCTATGTTCATGACACATTTTTGGTGACTCAACCAAAATTTGAAGTACCCCTAAAATATACCAAAAATAAAAATACCGTTTTAAAATATTTTTTTTAAATTCTTGCTTACTTAATGCAGGTGACAAAATTCTTTTCTGATTGGAATTTAATACATAATCAATGATATCCTCAACAGAACCTGGGGGCCAAAGATGTGCTCCAGGTTTTGCAAGTTCATACAAATGTTCCAATGCCTTGATTTTTATTTCCCACCTGGGATCATTCTTCAGATAGTTTAGTAGTAAATTGACTTGACTAGGGATGTCTACTAAAGTTGCTGCAGCTAATTTTGTCAAAGCATTCAGGGTGACAAGAACAAATTCTTGAGCTGGATATCCTATTAAAATCATGAAGTTAGATAATTAAAATTTATTTTAGGTAAATTAGTTTACCTGGTAATAATTCGATACATAGTGATCTAACCATTGCAGCTGTGTTAGTATCATGATGCATATATTGCAGAATTGGAATAAGTTGTAATTTCATATTTGCAGGTGTTGATTGTCTTTGTATCATATCTGATACTTTGTTACACATACTTATTGCAAAACTCCTAAAAAAGGTTCAGTGTATAAATTTGTATAATCCGTTTTGTAAATAAATTGTGTAGATTGTAAATATAATATGGGGTGACAATTTAAAAACTTACAATGCCTATATCTCATGAACTTAAGATAATATCAGAAAATGCTTAAAACTATTGACAAAATACAGAACTTGGATATACCATATTATAGCCATATTCATACCTAGGTAAGGTAAATATTTTGTAGCTTTTCTCTCTTTTATAATAATTTACTAATTTATACTTTCACTACGTGCATTAACTAGCAAATTTATATATTCACTAGTTATAGTACTTATACATGTTTGTATTTAGTTTATACTTTAACTAACATTCTGTAAATATATACATTCACTAGAGTTCACTCTTTTACTGTAACATGTACTGATTTTCATCAAGCAAATTATACCCTACCATGAGTTGAACAAAGTATAATAGGGACATTCACATAGGCAGACAGCTATGGATCATGGCACACAAATATGTATCCGATGTATACATATAATGACGCAAGCAGAAGTATAAATCCTAATGATACTCTCTGAAAGCAGTCTCTCTTTGTTATGGGAATGTTCAATATAAAGTTTGTTCAACTCATTGCAAGGTATATTTTCCATGTTGAAAATTCTGTAGCTGTACCTATAGTATATGAATCTATAATTTAAAATATAATAAAAAATTATTTTAAACTAACTTTGACTGTGCTGCAAATTGCACAGCCCCATAAACAGCTGCTTCCACCTCAACACTGTCATGAGAATCTAAGCTACTTCGAATACAGTGATGGATTTGTTGTCTCTCAGGTATAATAGCAGCTACAGCACCAAATATCCTTAACGTAACTGCTCTAGCTATTGGATCATTGCTGTGTATAACACTGTATATTCTTCTTACAAACTCGTCAACATTTGAGATTTTATCAAGATGTTTTTCGCTCTGTTGACATACTCTTAATACGCAGAGACGCAGAAAATTATTTCTAAAATAAATATTAGATCATAATATGTGTTTTAAGGTAAAACATTTAAATTTACCCCATACGAAACACTTCTGCCAATTTTAATAGAGAAGCGTTAATGAGAATTGGAAAGGGATACTTTTCAAACAACTTAGGAAACCTTACTATCGCCTCACATTGCTCTCCTACTTTTCCCGATCTTAAACCTACAAAAAGAGGGTCTTTAAATATGGATCAAAGAAATATTTGTAACAAACCTTTATCTAACTCTGTTAATGCAGAGTTTGCATCTTGATCCGGTTCTCCTAATCCGTTTTCATTAAAAGCACTTACTCGAACACCAATCATTGTACAAAACTAAAGAATATTAAAATTAAAAACTAAATTTAGCATTATTTATCATTGTTTACTAGTCTGGCAGCGACAAAAAGAAACCGATCAAAACACCCTTACTTAACCATAGAATTTCTTCTGCTTAGTTTTTAGCTCCGACTTTTCAGGAATTTGGCACCAAATAATAGAGAATGATCTTGGAGCATCGGGTTTGTATTATACCCACTGAACACTATACTGTTAGAACAGAAGTAAAAGTTGGAAATGCTTTTGCCAGTTCTCCCACTTTATACACATAAATTGACAGGTTGGCAGCGGATTTCACCGAAGTGGATGCGATACATTGACGTACAAAATTATTTTATAGATGTTAATAACAATTTCGAGTAAATAGTTTAATAAATTGTGAATAGCTGTTGAAATTTTGTAAAATTATGATTTGAATATTATAATACATGTTCAATAATTATTTATAATCCATAAATACATGTAATTGTCCGGTTCCGCCGATAACAATTTAAAATTACTTATTCTATGAAACGACACTGGCAGGTAAACATTACTGCGAAATTCTCGGAGCCGCCCGACGTGGTTTGACGTTTACCCCCTCTCTACCTACCAAAAGACTTTTCAACTTTTACTTTCTCTATACAGTTCAGTGATTATGGGTCCTATGATTGAACGTTTACGTTATCCGTAACGTACATGTTATGACGAATTTTAAAAGTAACGAGGCAAGTTCGGATGATGGAACACTGTTAAATTAGAAGATAACAGGTGGAAAATAACAGTAATGTGTTATGAAAGACTTTACATCATACAAATTTGTCTCTTTGCTGTTAAAACTCGGCCTAACATGTACGTTATGGATAACGTAAACGTTCAATCATAGGACCCAATACCTGTGGTTTAAAAATAATTCTAGGGAATCTAGGGTGATGCAAGCACAAGCTTGTTTTTGGCTTTTGGGATGTTGGCAATAATATTTCTATCCTTACAGACAACGTTGAGGGCTATCTATTGAACCTTTATACATACATAATCAGAGTACAAGTAAAAGAGAAGATGACTTTGACATTATTTTTATATTTTGGAATCATATGTCGGCCGAATAGCCCTGATAGCTGAGGCCAGTGTTGCCAGTCTAGTACAATTGTACTAGATCTAGTACATTCTTTGAGAAGCTGGTACTCTAGTACACTCTAAGAAAAATCTAGTACTTTTTTCAGCGTATGTTCCATTTGAAGTGTAAAATATATTGTTTAAAAATTGCCAGAGAAATTAAAATAGTTTGTTAAAAATTGCTTCAGAGATAAAATAGTAGACATTTCTCGAGATAAAAACATTGTTCAACAATTGCAAGAGAGATCAAATATTGTTCAAAAATAGCTTGAGAGGTAAAAAAGGATGTTAGAAATTGATCGAAGGATAAAATAGTATTAGAAATTGCTTGAGGGGTCAAATATTGTTCATAAATTGCTTTAGGGATAAAAATACTGTTAAAAATTTAATGAGAGATAAAAAAATTTTAAACATTGTTTGAGAGATTAAATAGTATTATAAATAAAATCGTGTTCAAAAATTGTTCGAGGTAAAGTAGTATTACAAAATGTTAAAACCTTGTTTAAAAATTGCTCGAGGAATAAAATACTGTTGAAAAATTTGTTGAGAAATAAAATATTGCTTAAAATTGACTCGAGAGATACTGTTAAAAATTTCTCTAGAGATAAAACATTGTTTAAAAATTCCTCGGACGATAAAATACTACTAGAAATTGCTCGAGAAATAAAATATTGTACAAACATTACTCGAGAGATAAAAGAAGTTGTTAAAAATTGCTAGAGTCATAAAACATTGTTAAAAATTTATCGAGAGTTAAAATTTTGTGCAGTTTGCTAAAAAGATAAAAAAAAGTTTTGTTAAACATTCCTCGAGAGATAGAATAATGTTAGAAATTTATCTAAAGATAAAATATCGTTAATAATAGCTCAAGAGATAAAAAAAGGTTTAAAAATTGTTCGAGAGATGAAATAGTGTAAGAAATTGTTAAAATTTTGCTCAAAAATTGCACGAGAGATCAAATATTGTTTAAAAATAGCTTGAGAGGTAAAAAAGGATGTTAAAAATTGATCGAAGGATAAAATAGTATTAGAAATTGCTTGAGGGGTAAAATATTGTTCATAAATTGCTTTAGGGATAAAAATACTGTTAAAAATTTAATGAGAGATAAAAAAAATTTAAAAATTGTTTGAGAGATTTAATAGTATTATAAATAAAATCGTGTTCAAAAATTGTTCGAGGTAAAGTAGTATTACAAAATGTTAAAACCTTGTTTAAAAATTGCTCGAGGAATACTGTTGAAAAATTTGTTGAGAAATAAAATATTGTTTAAAATTGACTCGAGAGATACTGTTAAAAATTTCTCTAGAGATAAAACATTGTTTAAAAATTCCTCGAACGATAAAATACTACTAGAAATTGCTCGAGAAATAAAATATTGTACAAACATTACTCGAAAGATAAAAGAAGTTGTTAAAAATTGCTAGAGTCATAAAACATTGTTAAAAATTTATCGAGAGTTAAAATTTTGTGTAGTTTGCTAAAAAGATAAAAAAAGTTGTTTAAACATTCCTCGAGAGATAGAATAATGTTAGAAATTTATCTAAAGATAAAATTTTGTTAAAAATAGCTCAAGAGATAAAAAAGGTTTAAAAATTGCTCGAGAGATAAAATAGTGTAAGAAATTGTTAAAATTTTGCTCAAAAATTGCACGAGAGATCAAATATTGTTTAAAAATAGCTTGAGAGGTAAAAATACTGTTCAAAATTACTCGAATGATTAAATAGTAAAAATTGTACAAAAAATATTGTAAAAACATTGCTCGAGGGATAAAAAAAGTTGTTAAAAATTGCTTGAGAGATAAAAAAGGTTTATAAACTGTTCGAGAGATAAAATAGTGTCAGAAATTTGTCGAGAGATAAAATATTGTTTAAAATTGTTGTGTTCGTGTTCTCTATAAACCTTTTTTTGCTCTTTAATGACCACCCTTCACAATCAGAAAATATGGTAATTTTTATAGAATCTAGTACATTTTTATGTAATCTGGTACATTTTTTAGACTAATCTGGTACATTACAAAAATATATTCTGGCAACACTGGCTGAGGCCTACAAAAATTAAAAAGAAGAAGAATCATATGTCGCTGTTTGTTTTTGTTTAAAATTTATTTGAATTAAATTCTTATCATTATTTAATATTTTGCAATGCTGTTTTATTTAAAGAAGTAAATCATTGCTGAAAGATAATTTCAAAACAAGTTACATTTAGTGATTATCATATCTTGCAATAGTACCATATTTTCTTTATCCAAGTATATATTTTCAAAAAATTAGAACTGATTATTTAGAAAAAATTATACCATGTCTTTAAATAATTTAACAAGAATTAGTAAAAATGGACTAGAAACCATTTTTAAAAGTCTAAATAAAAGTATCCTTTTGTATAATTTTAAAAATATGTTATTTAAAGTGTAACCAATATTATTAGATATTTCTTTTAGTTAGGTTTTATTTAAAAAATTAGAAGTCCTTATGTACAGGATTTAATATTTTCCTTAGCGTCTAAAATAGGAACCATATTGTCCCGGAAGGCTTCCAGTTTGGGTAATACTTCTATTTCTATTACTATTCAATTTTATTAAAAAAATTATATTTTTAGCTTCCTTTAATTGGCAAGATCCATTGAATTTAGAATCTTTATTAACAGATGAAGAAAAGCTAGTAAGAGACCAATTTAAATCATATTGTCAAGAAAAATTAATGCCAAGAGTAATAGAAGCCAACAGAAATGAAGGTTTAAAAAATCTTAAAATGTAAAAAAATGATAAGATTTATTATACAATTTTTTTTAGTATTTCATAGAGAAATAATGAATGAAATAGGCCAGTTAGGAGTATTAGGTTGTACATTAAAAGGTTATGGATGTGCTGGCGTGTCAAGTGTGGCTTATGGTTTATTGACAAGGGAGGTAGAAAGAGTTGACAGTGCATATAGATCTGCAGTTAGTGTCCAATCTTCATTAGTTATGGGTGCAATATACAACTACGGAAGTGAAGAACAAAAACAACAATACATTCCAAAACTAGGTAAACATAAGGGATGAATATAATAGTAATATATTATTCCTATAAATTGCTATATTATACCAACATGTTAAACGAAATAGTTGCTTGAAGGCTTTGCTATTTTCAGCAAAAGGTGAATATATTGGATGCTTTGGTTTAACGGAACCCAATCATGGAAGTGACATTGGGTCAATGGAAACCAGAGCAAAATATGATCCATCATCTAAAACTTACACAATCAATGGAAGCAAAACCTGGTGTGTACAATTTTATCAATAAATATACTTATAGGTACCTATTTTTTCTGTATGGTTATTAATTTGCTATTTTTTTAGGATAACAAATTCTCCTATATCAGATATCTTTATTGTTTGGGCTAGATGTGATGATTCTAAAGTAAGAGGTTTTATAATTAATAAAAAAGAATTCGGAAAAGGACTTGAAGCACCAAAAATTCAGGGAAAATTTTCTTTAAGAGGATCTACAACAGGTAAATATTAATTCTGCTGTAATATTACAAAATATTTAGATGGAATGTTTTGACTTTCACATGTATAATAATAATAATAATAATAATAATAAATGGCCTTTATTTGTACATACCAAAAATACAAAAAATATGTAGAAATGTACATTTGCCTGGGCGAGATTTAGCCTAAGGCTATTCTTACATCTAACCCTATAAATTCTATACATAGTTAAAATAATAAATACATTTTTTACAATAAAGAAATTCTAGTAAAACATTTGAAAAGAAAAACAATTACCTAAGTGTGTTTATTCAAAAAGAACAAAGGAGATAAAAAAAAATTAAACAATTGCACTTAAATACTTTGGGAGACCAAGAGCTGTCGTTTTAATTTATTTTTAAAAACATTTAGAGATTTTGAATTTTTTATAGATGTGTTTAGGTTGTTGTACAGAACAACGGCATTGTATGAAAAGCTGCGATTAAAAATTGCAGTAGAATGACGAGGCATGGTTAATGTTAAATTATTTCTAATATTAACGTTGTGCATCAATGTTCTGAATATTATTTGTCTTTTAAATATGGTGGTATTGAAGTATTAATTATATTATATATTAGCGATAGGAACAGATATTTGAATAGGTTGTTAACATTTAACCATCCAGTTTGTGAAAAAGCCAATGAAATATGGTTGAACTTGGCCATTGACGAACCTACAACACGTATTCTGCATTATTTGCAGTCGATTACGTTTGACTGCTGTTAGACAAGGGTAATATATAATAATTCCGTAAAGAATTTTTGAAATTACTAAACTTTGACATAAGTTAGCTTTTATTGATTTATCTCTAAGAATGTATTTATTTGAGTAAAGTAATCGAAGTGCGCCGTAGCACTGTTGAAGAACATAGTTCAAATGTTTATCAAATCTCATAAATTCATCGAAATACAGCCCCAAATTTTTTGCAAAACATTCGATAGGAATCCTCTCCCCAGAAATACATAGGTTAACATTTAGATTTTAAAATATCTTTGAATTTATTATTACAAAAAACTATTAGTTTAGATTTAGAGGCATTTATGTGCAAATTATGGTTTGTCATTAAGGTCTTGATTTATTAAGTTCACGGCATTGACGTAATCATTTGCGTTAAAATCACAGAATAATTGCGTGTCGTCAGCAAATAATTGGACTGAACAGTTTTTGATGCATGTATATAGATCCGAGGTGTAAAGTAGAAATAACAGAGGACCCAACACCGAACCTTGGGGTACGCCGGACTTTATTGGAGTTGAGTTAGACTTCTGATCGTCAACAATAACCTTTTGAGAGCGATTGTGCAGGTATGTTTTTATGAATCCTAAAGATTTATCATCAAATCCGTAATATGAGCACTTGGCAGAAAGCAGTTTGTGATTTATAGTGTCGAATGCTTTACTAAAGTCTAAAAGAATTACTGCACTCGATTTTTTCTTGTCCATGCTGTTTAGAATATTGTCTGATAGATATGCCAGAGAAGTTGTGGTACTGAGACCCTTCTGAAATCCTGACTGATGTAATGGAATTATATGATTTTGGGATAAAAATTCATAAATTTGCGAGTAAGCAGCATGTTCGAAAATTTTGGAAATTAAAGGAAGTAAACTAATGGGCCGTAGTTCATTGTATGATATTGGGTTGGATTTTTTAGGCAGTGGAATTACTATTGACTGTCTCCAAGAACGTGGAAAATAACCTTGTTCCAAAATAAATTAATTATATGTAGCAGGTACACATCAATAACATTTAAGCACAATTTTAACATATGCATGCTAATGCCGTCATTTCCTCCTGCGTTTGACTTAATACTTTAAACAATATTGTATAGTGTTGCGATAGTTATAGTTTTAAAACAAAAACTGATATCTTTATTATGTCTATTATTTCTATAAAAGCAAATTGAATTAAAACATTTATAGTTACTGTCCTGAAAGACTGATGAGAAAAAAGAAATAATTTCAAATGGGTTAGATAAGTCTTTTATAATTATTCCAATTTTCAGAGTTTTTATGTAGTTTATACCTCGTTAGAGCTCTATCACGTTCTCTGAATATTAATCGAATAGTTGGAGTTAACCAAGATGATTTGGGTTTGCTTATTCTTGCTGTTCTGAGAGGGCAATGACTATTAAACAAGGAATACTGTGTAGATCTTGTGAGAAGGATAGAAGGTCAAAGTAGTTGTAGTCTCTATAAGTTTTGAATTTTTGCTTCTGTGAATTGTAATTAATATTTAAATGGCAGTATACCGCTCGATGATTTGTGAAGTGATCTACATTTAGTGTGCCATGGTTAGTACATATATTTGGTGTATTTAAAAAAATTGGGTCAATTAGCGTTTCTGAATGGTCTGTAATATGTGTAGGCTCGTCAATGACCTGGACAAGTCCAAAAGCATCCATATATTGACTTAAAGGATTGTTAATATTGAATAAATTCACATTTACATCACCTAAGATTAAAATATTATCATAACTAGTAACAATTGTTGGCAATAAGTTGTCTAAATGTTCAATAGCATCTTTTAAATTTTTATCCGGTGGTCTGTACATAGTACCAACATAAAAATAAATATTGTGTAGTTTAAAAGTGATCCAAAGGTGCTCTAAACAAGAAGTATAAAAACAGTCATCAAAAATTACAATCTTACTTTGGAAGCAAGTCCTAATAGATATACCCACCTCTCCGCCATGACGATGCCTGTCCTTTCGAAAGAATGAAAACCCAGGCATGTTGACATCAGAGTCAGGTATATCATCAGAAAGCCATGTTTCAGTTACGGCTAGTATGTCAAAATCCTGATCTTTAATAACAACTATCAAGTCAGCGATACTAGTTAAAATTGAACGCGTGTTAACTTGTCCGATTTTCAAATTATTAAATTGCAATTTCTTTTTAACCATAGTTGATTTTTGATTGAAGGGAATATAGTTTTTATAAACGAGGCATGCTTTGTCATTGGCGGAGTGGTTGGTATCAAATTTCGTTCTAAATTTGTTATTGTTACTGGTGCAATTTATGCATTTTCTATGAGTAGATTATAGGTATTTAAATAAAGGGGAAACTTAGGCAATTTGAAATAATGTGTGCTTACTTGAGTCTCGAACATGAAAAATGTAACTGTTTTCAAAAAGTTTAAACATGTTTAAACATAAACATGGTACCCCTCATAATTATAATGGTCTCAAAAAGTTGCTGGCATAATACACTAGACCAGATGGTTCTAAGAATTACTTAAGGTCATTATTAATTTTAATTATCAAAGTTATCAAAAACTACATTATTTAGTGTCACAGTAGTTATTTTCGTAATAAAAAAGTATATTACCTAAGGCTTTAAGGTTTTAAAACTATAAAAAAATATGTTGTTAAATTGAAATAGTTTCTTGGTCATAGTGTCAATTATCATGTAATAGCATTGTATAAGTAGTCCTAGTAGGTCAGTCCAATGCAATTATTTGTTTGATACCAAAAGGAGACCACCACCAGGTGGCCAGTCTAATTGAGTCTCTTTAAGCTAGAGACGGCTGGAGCTTTTGTTAGTTTAAAATAGATTGCAGAATAAACTTATTGAAAGTTGCCATTTTTATTCCACTCTGTATTGTTTTCATTGGATTTAACCCATGTCAAAGTAAAGAAAACTGATTTTCGTAATATTGCTCCGCTGACCGCTGACAATAGCAAGAAATTTGTATAAATAGGCATTTTGGTTTAATCCTAGAAGACACAATTTTAAAGATAATACCATATTTTTTTTATGTGCAAAGAGAATAACTGGCACTAGCCCCGGGTTAGCATACTTTTTTGAAAAAATCGCCCGTTTCGTAAAAAAAAAAAAATATAAAGTTTATTAAATTTTTTAAAAAAAGGACAACTTTTAATAGAGAATTAACATTATTAAGCATGCATTATTCATTTCCTTAACAAGATAAAAAAAAAAAATAAAATTGAAGGTAATAGAAAGTCATAATTATTAAATCAGCAGAGTAAATTCGGGTATAAAAATGATTGAAAAATATGACAATATCCTTTCTCAAGACGTTCCGTGTTCGTACCGAGGGATATGCGATAATTGTCTTCCTCATCTACCTAGTATTGAAAATTGGACAGATCTACATATAGGATAGATCTGAAATTTAGTATTGCAAGATGGTGCGAAGTAGGAATATTTATTACATGAGATAATCTTGTTTTTAATATACAATTTGCAATATTTCAGTATATTTAAAAAAGTGTTTGATTAGAAAAAGTTAGGTATATATTTTCTAAAATAAATCATTGTCCCAAGAATATCAACTAAGCTACTAAAATAATAAAGTCTATAAATCAGTCTTTTAAATAATGTATTTAACAAATGTTTCACAAAATAATATAATATACATGTTTTATATAATTTACATGTTTTCTGACTTATCTGTGAAAGAAACGTGGAGAAAATGCTTAGTTTTCCTTACAATTTTTTCTTGATTTTGTTGCTGTCTGCTGTTGTAATGATGTGATAATTTTTTGCAGAAAGATGTCTTCTTTTTAACTTGAAATAAATAAAGAAAGACGATGACTTAATTTTTTATTCTATACAAATATATAAAATATGTTAGCGTCCTGCTACCTTGATAATGAAACGCCACTGTTCCAGTATTCATAAGACGATAACCGTCCGGTTGTACGTTGTTGATAAACAGAGTATCACATTTCAAGAATGACCAACACATTAATATTATCATTGTATAAGAATCAGCTCAGTTCTATTAAGGCATCGATTTGAGATTAATGTAGATTTTATATAAAATAAAATCATTATTTAAAGTGAATTCTTTATTTATTTAATAATTTACCCCAAAAAGATAACAAATATATATAACTAATGATGGCCAAAAACGTTTTATTAAGTTTATTAATATATTTGAAAAAGCTCCTGCTGGCTTGAAGCTTGAGCCTTAGCCTGGTGAACCTGCGTGGATTTCCTGTAGTTGGAGTTTGCGCCTGAGTAATGAATTTTTGGTTCTTCCTTGATCATTGTCGAGCAATATGCTATTTGCACTATTTTCACAAATTTACCATCTTTTTTCTCCTCGAAGAGTCTCTCTTTAACTGCACCTTTTTCGTAACCGATAATGAAACGATCCACTAAAACACGTTCAATTTCGGTACCGGCAAAATCGCACTTTGCTACTAAATGTCTTAAACGAGCCGCCCACTCTTTTGCCGATTCATTAATTATTTTATGAGCTTCGTAAAATTTTTCACGATTCGCAGAAACTGGCACAGTAGATTTAAAATGTTCATCTAATAATTTAATTATTGATTTATAGTCTATTTCTTCGGGTTGATCCGGTATGCACATATCATGCAAGAGTTTATAAGCATCTTCATTTAAAAGACTTAACAAAATGGCTCTTTTTCGAGCTTCAAGTGTGATTGAATTTGCCAAAAAATTATTTTCTAGACGTTTCTTGTATATTGACCAATCCTCACTCCCGGGAATAAATTCTTGCACGTGGCCGGTATACTGTACCTGGTCCGGCATTTTATTTGATTTTAATTTAAAAAATCAACCAAAAATAATTTGAAAACTGAATTTACACTTTTCAACTCACTACTAACTAAAAACTCGTCGCCAATTGTAACATATTACCTAATTTGAGGTGATTATTATATTTGTTACAAATACATATAAATAAAACAACTATTTCAGTCTACAAATCACACCAATATCGTTCCAATAGGTAAAACCACTTTTTATAAATATACTTCAATTGGAAAAGAAAACAATAAATTAAATCTAATATACAGAGTGATGCACACCAATTACCCGTACATCACAGTTTCATAGTGTCGATTGGCCTTAAAAAAAAATTGTATGTTTTAGGACTTGTGTTGACCTGCAAATCACAACTTCCTCTCGTAAATTACCTACTTAAATTGCTCATTCTATTTGTAATATATTTTCTATATTTCTCTTATGTAATTATAAATTTTAAGGTATGATACTTATGGACAATGTAAAAGTACCTGAAGACCATTTACTACCGAACGTCACTGGAATGAGTGGGCCGTTTGGATGTCTAAACAATGCACGTTACGGCATAGCATGGGGTGCTCTTGGAGCAGCTGAAAGCTGTCTAGAGATTGCTAGAAATTATACATTAGAAAGAAAACAATTTAATAAACCTCTAGCAGCTAATCAGTTGATACAGAAAAAGTTGGCTGACATGATGACTGACATTTCATTGGGTCTTATGGGCTGTTATCAAGTTGGTCGCTTGAAGGATAAAAATATGTAAGTCTTAATATTATTAAATTAGAAATATTTTTTATATTGTTTCAAATATGGTTTGGTAAGTATTTATACTCATTGAGAAAGCAGCTTTTTTTTTTGGGTCAGTTTTTATTTTTCAATTTAGTCTCCATTTAGCAAGGTATGTCCAAAAAATATAGAATGGGACAGACATATCATCCATTTTGGGCGAACTTTTGTCTGCCGGTTGAATGCTAGACGATTCAGTGTCGTGCTGAAACTTACGAATTTGGTACACATGTTTATTTATTTATTTATGTATTTATTTATTTATTTATTTATTTATTTATTTATTTATTTTATTTATTTATTTATTTATTTATTTATTTATTTATTTATTTATTTATTTATTTATTTATTTATTTATTTATTTATTTATTTATTTATTTATTTATTTATTATTTATTTATTTATTTATTTATTTAATTTATTTATGTAGCTCTTACAGAATGTAAAATTCCAAATAGTACAGTATATCTAACCTAACACAAACAATTGTAGGAGTTAAAAACAATATAAAATAAATAAGAAAACATATATAAAATATTAAAAAAAAAAAGAAATAATAACACAACACCACGGGACGATACGAGTAAAACTTAGACATTCAGGAGTTGCAAGTCTTATTTCAGCGTCAAAATATTACAATTAAATATATCACAGTCCGAGTAAAATTTGTTATAGTTCTTGCATAAGCCATCAATAAATGCACTTTGTCCGCAATTGGTTCTATCTTTTTACATTCAAAAGTGATGTGTGCCGAGTCCGTCGGGCAGGAACCAATAGTTGAATCCTCTCAAGCAGTGACCTGCACTTGATAGAACCACCTATTAATTTAGCCAGGAATAGGAGTAAAGCCTGTTTTCTTCTGCATTCCAGGCTCTGCATGCCACAAAGCATTAATCTTATTTGATAACATGTGTTATGGCTATGAAATCGGTATTTAAAGAGCAGGTATTTTACGAATTTACGTTGCATCCTTTCAAAAATAATGCCCAGTTCTATCTAGGTTGACGCTGTTAATAATGTAACAGTTAAGAGTAGGATTGTGGGATCTTGTAAAATGCATGGTTGTGCACTTAGAAATATTTATAGAAAGAGCGTTATTCTTAATGCCGAGTTATTACCAGCGTTTCTACTAAAAAACTTTAAATCATCCGCGAAATGAAGGCATTGGCTATTAAGAAAGCAGAATGTAACATCATTAAAGAATAAGGAAAACAATAGGGGATCTATATGTGAACCTTGAAGTGGGATTGACAAGGAGTCACAGCACCCCTTCAAGAACGACTGTGGTACCCCATCAGGGCCCGCAATTTTACTAGAGTCAAGACTTTATTTTAGAAAATATTTCACAAGGAGTGAAAGTGTGTATGGCTAAAGTGGAATAAAATGGCACAGCGGGAAGATCAATTTTTCGGTTTTAAGTCGTCTTTAGAATAGCGCGTTTGCAATTTTTACAGGATCACCGAGTTCATAGTTTCCTTACTTCATTAAATTAGGCAATCCGTACTCTCGCTGCAAACTTTTACTAAATGTCCAAACATGTTTTATGTTTTATGGAATTAAGTGCTCGGAGTTCGAAATAAACATTAAGTAATACCAGTCAGTTCGAAATTTTACTTCGCGCCTTTTAATGGAGTATTCAATGTAATCACTTTGAAACTTAGTCCTCTGATATATTTGATGGAGCTTATTCTTTTTTAGCAATCAATTTGATATATTCTTTCAAATATGGTTTGGTATTTATATTCATTGAGAAAGCAACCTTTTTTTGGGTCGGTTCATATTTTTTCAATTTAGCCTTCATTTAAGGTAGGTAAACGTGGTCCAAAAAATAGAGAATGGGACAGATATGCATCCATTCTGGGCGAACTTTTGTCTGCCGGTTGAATGCTAGATGATCCAGTGTCGTGCTCAAAATTACGAATTTGGTATACATTTTAGTAATATATACGGTTTTTGAGACAAATAAAAAATGATTTTTGAGAATAATGTTTGTATTGTATTATAGGTACTCTTATATGAAAATAAAATAATAATAGTAACAATTTTATTCATAAAAAAATATTCATTAATACAGAAAAAATTGGCAATGAAAAGAATAAAATATAGATAAGTTCTATGTGCAGTTGTTTGGAGTACATAGGTTGTTACTCAAGCTGTGCACAATTATTTATAGATGAGGAGAAGACGAAAGAAAACTGCAACTCTGAAATAACCATGCTAGAGTTTCACAAAACTTATGCAACTTATGCATTTTTTAATTTTAGACTCTTATTATTTACTTTAATTCTATAAAGGAATTTGTAACTTTTCCAATTCTGCTTCAGACCTCATATATTTAATATAATTATAAAATACTTCTCTGGTTTGGCTATTCAACACTTTCCCCCTCAAATCCACTTATTTTGATGCAACTACATAAACGATGTAAACCATGGTTCAGGCATGGGCGTCGTTACACAATTCTATAGGGAGGGGCAAAATTTTGAAACAATTTGGAATGTTTATTTGTTGAAAAAATAAAGGAGTAATACAAAATTACAAAAGCATCTTTAATACAAGAAATAAACCAACAAAAAGAAAAAACAAAATTAAAAAAAAAACACGAAACTTAAAACACATATTTTTAAAAAACAAACAGATATAAAGGAAAAATAGGAACAAGAAGACACATTAACAAAAAAATATTTATAGAAATACAAAAACATAAAAAAACTCACTCAAACACGTCGACGAACACAAAGAAAGCAATTTTTAAATTTCTTCTTTCTGTACCACAAATATCGATAACATTATTCTCTTCATGCGTGACAGAAGCGCCAACTAATTTATGAACTAACGGATGATATTTGCATATACTGACAATGCAATTTTTAATAGAATTCGTAATTAAAAAATGTATATGTTGATTTTAATAAATATATATGGATTTGTGAAAAAAAAAGTAATATAATCAATACAAATCAATAATAAAACATAGGCAGGCAACAGTATTAAAAAGAAAATGTATGAGAAGTTAAATAATGTCAAAATAAAAACATTACCGTTTTTATAAAAACGTAGAATCAAAATATATGAATAAAAATAATTCGTATAATTGCGATTGTAATTTATATTTTCTTTATTTTTAGTTCAAAAGAACACAGAAATTAATGATTAAAACTGGTTTCCTATCAATAAGTCACAAGTTTGCTTTTTAAAGCCTTTTGTACGCCTGGCTAAAATTCACAATTTTTGGACGCTACATTATTAATGAAGAGCTCACTGTATGCAGGAAATTCTTCTGTACTCTAGTTAGCTATCCACGTTTGGTATTCAGCCTCAAAATTGTCGATTGAAAATTTTTCCACTATTTTCATTTTCTAATCGGTAGTTTTTAGTGTGAGAGGCTTAAAGAAGAACTAACACTAGAGTGTTCAGAAAAGCGTGATGAAAGCGACGTAAGATATGGAATAAATACATTCAACATATAATATTCTTCAACTGTATTAGCCTGGATATTATTTCTATGAGATTGTTGCCCCCTAATTCGTGGTATCTTGATTTCTACACCTGTCATGTCACCTATTCTATTTCCTTAAACAATTCAATCAGCACAGAGATTCTTATGTGTGAACTTGCCATGTCACATGTTGAATAGAGAGAGACATTATAAGAATTGCAATCTGTCGAACGATGATAGGCGTCTCGACTTATGGTATATTGAAAAATAAGAATCCCACTGCAGTCAAAGACTAGGTACCTAACATATCAGTAATACATGTCTTATGCGTTGTTAATTAAGTCGTAAAAGCCAGGGAGGGGCAACTGCCCCCCCTCAAACGACGCCCTTGGGTTCAGGGTATATTAAAAGGTTTACAAATGCATTCAACACAACACGTCAAAATGATTTTCACATATTCGCTCAGTGAGAAGTTATGGTAGGGGAAGCAAAAGCGATATTAGCGCTAGCTGCAGATTATTCTTATCATTTTACGATGTTCTTCAACATCTATTTAATCTTAAATGCTCATCAAGAACTTGATAATTATACAGATTGCTCACCCATCTATAAAAAGATTAGGAAAAGCGGGTTGCAATGTGCACTGCTATATTGCCTTTCCTAGTGCCCACGAAATAGGGCGTTCTAGCCCAAATGTGTTTTAAAATAAAATTTCAGCGTTTTATTCTATAGAAAAAGAAAATAATTACTTAATTCAAGACACTTTATTATGTATTTTGAGAGTTGAGTTTCCATGTAGTTAAATAATATTAAGAGATCTAAACAATTTTTATAAGGATGGATGTAAATAATTTTAGACCACTCTCATTTCAGAAATAACACTATATAAAACACATAATTGCAATATGTAATACAACTTTGTAAAGGTAATGTAAACAACTTTAAAATGAGATATAAATAACTTTTGTAAGAGTTGTAATTGGACACTTATCTATTATTCTGAGTAATGTTTAATAGTAATGTTATTAAAAATTTTACAGAAAATCACTACATTTTTAATACTCTAAAATTTGTTGCAATCTCTTTTGACAGTAATTGCAATGTATTAATTATGATTTGTTTATTTTAGTGATAAATGAGAAATAGTTAACAAATTGTATATGTTTGTCAAATTGGACATTCTAATTTTACAGTAGAATGATTAGTTTTAATTAACAGAATAAACCATTAATTATCTGTAAAATTATATTTATATAAAATGTTCATTTAAATATGTAAAAATCTTAATGACAAAAAACACTAAAGATTCTAATATCATAAACCGGTTCTGTAAATGATTTGTTTACAACTAAGTGCTCAAAATTGATACAAGATAGATACATATGGATAAGCAATCTATGTAATTATGTATATCGTTGGGTGTGAGACACGAAGTGTGCTCTGTGGAAATTTATAAAATTTCTTTACTACCGAATCAAATCCAGGTTTCCAAAGCGATATGTTTGTAAATCCACGGATGCAACAAGTTTTTTCGGTAATGATATAATTCGACTTTATTTAATTAATAATTACTAAACAATAAATGCCGTATAAAACATTAATAAAACTCCCCCAAAAAGAGCACATTTTTGTCAGCAGTTGGCGTTAAAGTCATGACGCACGGTCCCTATAAATGTGGAGTTGTCAAACATAGTAAAAGAACGTACATAACAGGAATGACAGTGGCTGTTTTTTCAATAGCTCCAGGCCAGATGATAAAACCAGAATATAAATGTGTTCATTTCAATTATTCAATTTGAGCTGTGTCCACGCCGTTGGAGTCTATGCCGGTCGGCGTAGCCAGGTATGGATTGATGTTTTTTGGTGGCGGCTTCGCCGCCACCCTATGATAAGTCGTTGCTTCGTTTTCTTGTTGCATATTTATGGACCGGTATGGGCAATCACAATTTTCCATTAACTACTAATTTTATCACAATCCGGCAACGTTGCAATTATATTTTCCAAATTTGACAGAACACATAACAAATAGGCATTTTCATCACATTTTTTTTGTGCGCATGCGTCAGTATCAGCCATCTTTTTCGTACTCTTTTTTGTAAACAAGCATGTTAAAATGCCCACGTGAAAAAAAATTATAATCGATAAATATTAATTTTAAGTGTATTCGTTTAAAAAATGGGATAAGAAAGTAAAGTTATTATTAGTGAAAAATTAATTTTTGCAATCAATTAATTATGTTATCTTTACGGAAAGGAAAAACTAAACGGTATTGTTATGAGTATGTAAAAGTGACACACGGTATAAATTATTATTTTATAAAAAGACTTGCCTGCAATATCGTAAAAAAACAATCAAATCATAAGGCAAAATACATATTAAAACATGTTCAAAATGAGCATAATGAGTGAAAAAAATTTGGTCGAAGTGACAAAGGTTTTCGATCGATTGATGGATGATGTTACTAAAGATACTTATATTTGTTCACTACATTTTCATGGAGAAAGTGGTTCAACAGAAGAAAATCCTTGTCTGGTATTACACAATATTTTTTAATATTAAATACTACATCGGTATACACAGTAATATTATTAAAAATGTCATGTTGATCCTTAAAATTTTAAATAATTTATCTTATTAATTATACTCGTGATTAACTTTCATGTTAAAGTGTTTTTGCAAGTACTAATATTGGTTGGCATAATTAATTAGAATAGAGTTATGATTATTATTTGTTTACATTAATTTTTTACACAGTTAATATGTATTGAAACCTAACCTCTCAATCACCACACTTTTTTCCTTGTTCCGAACGTCCACGTCACTTCAAGAACCTTTTTAATTGCTCACAACTATGTGCTTCCACAGAGTTATAAAAATGTAAATCACCATCAAAGATTTTTTCTAATGATTGATTTGTATGTAGAGATAATATTGATTTTCCAGCCATTGTTGATCAAAACAGTACGAAACTTTTGACGCTATTTTAACATGGCGGCTGCACTTGCGCTCATCACATGATGAAAAGGCCTATTAACAAGCACGAACGAACTGAACAGCTGTCGTTATCACTTCACCTTACTTCACTAGATGGCGCCACAGAAGCAGGTTCATTTCTAGAGCACAAGAAATAGACGCTAGTTTTAATTTCAACATAATAATTTGGCGACAGAGGAAAAGCAGAATCTAAGGCTTTATATCTTTAAAACCAAACAAACTCGAGACGCAGCTCGATGGCCAAAACTAATTTAGACCCGCTTATAGAAGCGCTCAGTGGACCGAAACAACATTAATTTAAAAAAACTTGGACTTATTGAAGTATGTTTACATTGTGGAAAAATAATCATTCAACAGATTACCTGGTGAAATAAAAAACGTGAACTCGAAATACTTGTTCAAAAAATTAGTTAGAAATTGGATTTATTCACAGTCAAGGAATGATATACACCAAATGATTGAAAACTATTACTTATATCCCTAGCTTCCTGCTTAACCTGTAACATAAACAAAAATATTTCTATTTCTTTTTAGGAATAAGTATATTATGTATATATATATATATATGTATTTTTTTTTTTTTTTTGTTAATGTGCCTTTGTTTGTATCCACAACTTCCAGTTCAACCCGTAACATTTTTTTTCCTTTTTAGTATATAAGAAATAAATGTATTTTATTATTTAATAATGCATGCAATCAAAATAAACAACTAATCAGCCAGCCAAAAATAGAGTCTTACCTTTCACGTACAGGGCTTTCCTTGTGGAGTGTAAGATATCTAAGGAGGCGTTAATATTCTATAAAAAAAATATCCATGCCACATACAAGTTCGCTTATGTGGTCGTCACATGTTTATTGACACACTATATTTTGAAACTGTTTTTTTTTTTATTGTAAATTTATTGATGTAAATAAACATTATATTATTATTATTATTATTTTATTAACACAGAACTGTTTTTCTACAGAAAATTTACAATGTAAACGGTATTATAAAAAGGGATACATAGATAAAGTTTGCATAACATTTTTAACGAGACAAAGTAAATTAATAAATAATATTGATCACAATTCTGTAATTTCTGGTGATGAATATTCCATAAATCAAGTCATCGATGTGTATGCTAGTATTGCATCTGTGTTTAAACCAAAAATGTATGTCCAAGTCCAATCGTATTTTGTAAAATATTAATATATTGAGGTGACTAAACCTGTGATTTAAATAGTGCCCCTTCTTTATGAAACAATCTGTATAAAATAGAATTAAATATTGATCCTAAAGGCAAGTACAACTCGGTAAAAATAAATTTTTTTAAGGCACTCTCCTGATATGATCTCCATGTTGAAGAGGAATAACGCTGGTAAAGCTTTGGAAATTGCTAGAGTAGCAAGAGATATGCTAGGTGGTAATGGAATATCTGACGAATATCACGTTATTAGACATGTCATGAACTTGGAAGCAGTCAATACATACGAAGGCAAGTTGTTTTTGTTTCTTTTTGTGAAAAATGCTTAATAGTCAACCAAAATACCATTTTAGCTTTTTCTTAGCATAAAATAATTTGATATAAATTTCAGGTACACACGATGTTCATGCATTGATTTTGGGACGTGCAATAACTGGTATAGCAGCTTTTTAATTTTTTATCCTTTAGATTACAAAGGATAATGGGTAAAAATGTATGATACTGGATCCACTCCTCGATAGTAATAAATTATATGACTATGGAACGATATTTTTAAATAGAACATGTGTGTTACTATTCGACTAATCTCAATTACTTGTACTCTCTGAGTTGTTTTTCTAAAGAAATTAATCGCGCCCATGTAATATAGGGCCATTAGATTCTTTATAATTACCAAGTACTAAAATCTGTTTGCGTTGCAAAATATGTTAAGACTTTATTCGCTCCGTGCGCGACAGCAGCGCCAATTTGTTTTGGTATTAAAGGACTATTTCTGCCTATACTGACAAATACAATTTTTAATAGAATTCGTAAATAAAAAGTATATATGTTAGTTTTAATAAAAGTATATGGATTTATAAAACAATTAAAACATTAATTTATTATTATTATATATTTTTTACGCTTAAATTGAAGAAAATTATGTATAATCATTAAAAATCAATAATAAAATATAGGCAGGCAACAGTATTTACTGGAAAATGTATGAGAAGTTGCCTAAGTCTAATAAGTTGTCATTGAAGAAACCATTTATAATAGCGTGAAGTTAAAATGTATAAAAAGGATCGCTACTTATATTTTCATTTTTGTTCTAAAGAAAACATAGAATGAATGATTAAAACTGGTTTCCGATCAGTAAGTCACAAAATTGCATACCAGCTAAATATTATAATCAACGGCAGAAATCTTGAAATCTAGTCCTTGCTGAATGAACATTTAAGAATAAAGGGATATTAAAGAACATCGTAAAATGATAATTTATTGTTTATTTAAAAACTTTCTAGTTTCTGATGTCTACTATTTCCAGCATTATTGTTATTATCACAAAAATAAAGGTAATTTTTCTTCTTATTGTACACCTATCCATTTATTTCTTTGATTTAATTTCCACTTTGTTAGTGAAATTTGTTATATAAGTTTCACTGTTTTTTTTGCTAGTATTTGTACAATTTTCAACACAGCAACTCCGGTTGCTTATTGTGTTGTTTTTACCTACTTTTTTGAAAAAAAGTAAAATGTATACGTGTATTTGATATGCCAAAATTACAAAATATCCCCCTAAAATGCACGAATTATCCGCTGCTAGCGCTAGTATCGCTTTTGCTTCCCTTTCCATGACTTCGCACGGAGCGAATAAATTTAATTGTTGTCTCTAGATGTTTCGTCATCATTTATCGACGAGTCCAGTATATTCTAGATTGATGATTCGCTTCGACTCAGAGGTTGACTTATTTTATCGAATATTCTATGTAACGGAAAAAATGGATACCGTAAAAGGCCAAAATAAGGCTGAGAGGGTCTTAAGGGAAGAGCAGGACCGGACTGGTTGAAAATGTCTTTCATGAAATTATGGTATGGTGATAATTAATCTTTTCACCATTCTAAATATGTACCGTAAAATGGGGCTACTTGATACGCTTTTCCAAATTTTAGGTCGTACCTCGCTGCAATAAAGCTACGTTTATGGAAACTAAAACTATTTTAGATTATTTTGGGGTAAGGGCTATCAGATGTGTAATACTCAAAAAAAATCTAGACCTCACATTAAAAAAAAATATTTAAAAGACATTTTTTTAAGTAGCCTCGTGCTGAGGCTAAATAAAGGGGTTAGAAACCAAAGGGTTCAAGTGAAATTTTTTTTTAAATGAGTTAAGTGCATATTTCGTTATTTAAAACTATTATTTTTTTGGTGGTAAAACAACAAAGTGATTTTTGATGTCCTAACGACATTTGTCTGCTGGTAAAAAAAGCATGTTATTGAAAACGTGTAATTTGTTTTAGGTAAAACGGTTGAAGTGCACTTAACTCATTTAAAATGAATGTCACTTGAACCCTTTTGCTTCTAACCCCTTCAAATGATATTTGTTTGAAAATCGAATTTATAATGCAAGTATACTCACAATTGAGGCTACTTGAAACGCAAAATATATTTTAATAAAACCCGCAGTTAATTTGAGTAATCCTACAGAAGGGCAATTTGACAATTTTTTACAAAATTCTTAAGTAAACTCTTGTTCATTGTATCCGTATAGTGCATGACTTAAACTGCGCAGACTTATTTGGAATTAAAATATTCTTTTTTGTACAGACTTACTTTTAACTGACAATTTGTACCTCTAACATTTTTTAATTACGATGTATAGTCACAAATTATAATAATAAATACCTTGATTTTTTTTTCTTGTAATACAAATCACAACAGTCACAACTTGACAACTAGCACAATGATGAATCTTCTCTAACGCTTAAATATGAACTGATACTTCAGCACTTACTCCAGAATATCTATCACGTTTGGTTTAATAACAAGTTGAAACATGTTTTTATTTTTGACGTATTTACATATTGGAAAAGTATTTAAATACCGGAAAAGTATTCAAATGCCAGAAATGTATTTAAATACCAAAAAAGTATTTAAATGCCAGAAAATTATTTAAATTCTTAAAAAGTATTTAGAATATTTTGAAAAAGTATTTAAATACTAAATAATTACGAAAGTATTTGCAGCTGCAAATACAAATACCGCTCATCCAAAAGTATTTAAATACTAAAAAGTATTTACAAATATAAATACTGCCCAGCTCTGACGGTGGTTAATTTTACTGTACATCTTTTTGTTACCTTACCTTGAGATAGCCCTTTATTATTTATGTCACCAGTTTTTCCGAACCCACCGATGTTCCAACCATAGTTATCTTTAACCATAACTCAAAAAGTATAGGATAAATGAGATGGTCATAATTAGACCTAGGAATATATGCACCCAAAAAGTAGTTAAATATGCGCATATATATGCCGCAAAATACTTCAATCTATGCGTAAAAAAATTGAAAAATATGCAGAGCATATGCAATAAGAGCAATTTGTTATTTGATCGAAATAATTTATTAATATTTATTATTTGTTTTATTTTACAATACCTAATATAATACTTAATAATTATTTAATTATTAACTAATTTTATTTACAAATCAACATTATTATAAAACGAATGAACAATTAGATGTTTTTCTAAATTATCTGTATTAAATGATTGTCTCCTATCAGTAAGTATGTACTTGTACAAAGAAAAACTCCTTTCGACATCTACAGAAGTAATAGGTGCAAACTTAAATTTTCCTGAAATATCTGGATGAATAGTATTAATATCTTCAAAGTTACCAGAATAAATATTAGCAAGGTTTCTTAAAACAATAAATCCTTCATTTTTTTAAAATTACATTTGAAAATTTATGAAAAATCGTCTTTCCAATATCGCCCTGGACATTTTTACACTCTGATTCAAACGTCTTAATTAAATTTACGGAAGTCACCAAAGGTAAATTTTTTTGTTCTAAATCTAATATAATTTTGGGTATAATTGGCATAATTTTTTAAAAACACTAATTGCTTTGGTAATATGTGATTTTGAAACAACTTCTTTGTATTAGATATTCCCTTAGATGAATCATCAAAATCAAATATGATTTCTTTAATTTTTTCATAATTATCTGCGTAAAAAAAGGCAGCTTTAAGCCAGGTACCCCACCGAGTAATCACAGGTTCCGGTGGCATCTGTAATTCAGAAAATTTTTCTTTGTACAATTGAGTTCTTAGAGGAGCTTTAAGAAATATTTTTTTTACATTACTAATTAAATCATTTATTAAAGGAAAGTTAGACCTAATTTCTTCTGCAACTCTGTTAAGGCTATGAGCCAAACATGTAACATGGATTAAGTTTTCATAAAACATTTTTAAATTTTGTGCGGCTTTTACCATGTACGGGGCAGCATCGGATAACAGCAATACACATTTTTCTGTTGGAACGGCTTCCGGAAGAAAAAAGGAAGACAATTCTGTCTGGATAAAACGAGTTATTGTCAAGTTATTTGTTTTATCTAATTGCTTTGAAGTGATTAGATATGGACCAATTTGCATTTCTTCGCGTAATGAACCTATCATTAACCTATCGACCACAAGAGTCTGTTGTTTCATCCACAATAATGTAGAAATGGTTTCCAACGGTAATCTCACGAATTTTTTCACGAGTCTCAATGTACAAACTGTCAACACCACGTTTGCGTAATATACTTTGCTCTGGAATATTAAATTTACAGTATTTTTGCAAAAATGATCGGAGATTTGGATTATTTAATCGTATTAAAGGGATATTCGAAGTCACTAAAGCTTTGCATAAATCTTCATTAAAAATAGCTTGTTCACTTCTAGACGATCCAGATTCTAAATATTGCTTCAAGGGAAGTTGACTTTGTCTGCGAGTGTCTGTAGATTTCTGCTTTGCTATATGTGAGGGTGTTTTCGCGTGTTGGTCGATTTGAAACTTTTTTTACATGGAATCTAAAACAAATAAATTGAAGTTTTAATTAAATTAAATAAATGCGTACGTTGTAAAGTTGCCCTACTTTTTTTTTACTTTGAGTTGAAATAATATTTTACTGTCGTTTGATTTACCATTGTGAAAGGTCAAAATAAAATATAAAATAAAAAAGTACTTACAATTTTAGAACATGTTTTACAAAACACCTGGTTATCACCTTCTACAGCAAAATCTGAATTAGATTTTACCCACGACTCAATTAATTTTGCCATTTTCCCACTGGTTAACACAACACAACAATAAAGACTGAAATGAAGTTGAAAGTAAACTGAGTCATTTAGAAATTTGAAGATATTAATACAACTACTTGAAAGGATATTTAGCAAAATTTGTTGGTTTAAGGAGGGTGTTTAGTGTTTATAATTTAATCCTCTCAAGTACCTACACCATTAACCGTAATTTATTACAGGGAAAAGTTAATCCTTCAAAATTTTAGGAAATCGACCTGTAAAGTCATTTCACAAAATATTATTTTGGTCCAAAACTCATAATTTTATTATGTCCAGCCAATTAGTACGTCAGATATATGCCAAAAAATTAACAAAATGTCAATATATGCATTCAAAATCAAAAATTGTATATATATGCAACATATGCAAAATATAGCGTTTTGCATATATTCCTAGCTCTAGTTATAATAGTAAAGAAATATTTTGTATTTCAAAAAATATTCTCTATTATTTATTGCTATTGGTTTTTGGGGTGGGACCAAACTCTCCTTGGAATATTTTTATATTTGGTATATACTGTGATTGTTAAGTTTCATTTATATTAAAGTATATATATTTCGTTTTTATTTTTTTTTTTTAATACAAATATAAAATATCTCAATTAATAAAAAGAATAATTGCTATATAGAGTGATTCGCATCCCATAGGAAATTAATTGAGCCGTTTATTTTGAAAGTGGCCTAAGTCTATTTATACTTAAATTAAGATATTCATTATCGATAATGTCCGAAGGCAGTGATGAAGGTAATTTTAATTAATAAGTATTTAACAAGTTAACCTCACTTTTTGGACTATCGCATTAGTTGAATAATCAGTATGTTTAATTAATATAATTAAACAAAATTTACATAAACCCTTAGATATCTCAATTTAAGTGTAAACGGACTTAGGCCCCTTTTAAAACAAACGGCTCAAATATAGGGGAATGTGGGTTACAGTGAAACAGGGCCTCCAGTTCTTTGAAGCAACTTTGTAAGGTGTTTTCTCGATCCAGAAACAATACACTATTGAATGACGCCGTAGACCGCTATTTGTATTGGACGCGTTTTATTTATGCGATTTGATCCACAACCTTTCGATGAACTCGGGCAGTATTAGAGATACGAAATATTGCAGGAGTCAAAATGCCCTTTACTTTATATTAACGTTAGGTTGAAAATGAATGGATTATCTCATTCATGTCTAACTTTGATTAACGTCATGGTTGAATTGAGTGAGACCTATTTAAAGTAGGTAAGCCCCAAAGTAAATCCAAAGATCTGGAACCTAGTTCTTTTCAAATTGAAACAAGTACATAGAATATGCTCTGTTGATTTGTCTTCCACGCAGTCCGATGTTTCATGCAGGCCCATAGACAAACTAAAGGAGAAGGTTTGAATAAATAAATTTACATGGTCTTCAGTAGGATTCGAAGTTTGGTGTCTCTTTACCACAAAATTGACTCGAAAATAAATGCAAGCGCAGTAGACACCTACGCTACGCTAACAACATAACCTTCAAACTGAAAACGGCGAGAAATATCACGGTTTTCAATACATTTCTAAGTGCTCTCACGGTTTGTAAATACTTCCAGTGCTGGATAAGTTGCACCGATTTCGTTGTTTAGGACGCGAATTCGCGGGATAAGCATCACAAGGATGCGAATTCACGTCCTCAGCAGCGAACGTGTTAAAAAAAATTCATATTTTATTATTTTGCTTTATTAACCACAGCTAAATAAGTAGTAATAACAAAAATACAATATTAGTAACTCTAACAGTAAAAAAATGTAATTATTTCATTAAAAATACGTATGTTTAAGTTAAAGAAATTATATGTCTTTCTGAGATATTACTTCAAATGTAACTTCGTTTTTATTCAATAGTTCAATTAGAGAAGTCTTTCCAAATGCAACTCCCGGAGTGTATACTCCACCACTGAAAAAAAATAAAAAATTCAAACTCTACAAATGCTGATTGTTGTTAGAGAAAAACATTAAAATTTGCAATAATAATAATAAGTTGCAATAAAAAGGTAAGTAAAATTATCCTATCATAGAATTATGTCCTATATTATATACAACGCGCCATAATCAATGAAATGGCTTATACATAATTTAACGATTTAACGTTTTGTTCAATGATATTTTACCTTTTTTTTTTGTAACTTGAGCTAAACAAAAAATCGAGTCGTACCGCAACTTGCAGGGGCCATATTCTTGTAACTATGCGAGTAGGAGAGTAGACGAGTACTCTCTCACTATTTGGCCGGAATCATATGAATGATGACAGCAGTGTTGCCAGATGTACAAAAATCGTATTTATTCGATATACATTAAAGTTGAAAATTACCCAGCTTTTCGGAATTTTTATTTTTCCATTTACGAGCTAGACTGAATTTCTATTGCATACACACGTTTAATACATGTTTTAGTAATATATTATTACATACGTATAATGCGCTTACTTAAATTATATCGTTTCTTCAATTTTATAAATATATTCCTAAAGTAAGTAGATAACATGCATCAAATATACAATCGTTAAGTTATCAATTACATACCTTTAAACTATTTTTTATGACCTGTAAAAAATATTTAGAAATAAACTAAAAACAGTAAAAAGGTATACGTCTAATTTATTGACGTTTTTGTTAAAAGTTTGGTTAGAATTAAATGTCAGTGGAACCAAAATGACATCACACCGAACTAGCGCATTAATATTTTTAATTACAGAGTGATTCACAAATGTGTGAATTCTCACGTAACGTCAGGGAAGCATATTTTCAAAAAGTACTACTCAATATAGTATTTTTTTATATTGCACAGTACACATTTCTTATACAGGGTGTTTTATACAGTGTTATTTGTTAAAGAATAATTCAAAACCCTGTACTTATTGATTTTTGGGAAAGGTAATATCACTAAAATATGTGTACCTCTAAGCTTCAAAATATACACGGCGGTTTATTTGTTGAAAGATATTTTATTTTAATAAAAGTACAAAACACTATGAACACCTTGTATTTTAAAATTTTCAAAGTCAAATGTAACTATTTTCTCAGTATATGATAATTTTAACACCGTTTTAAGAGATATAATTTTAAATCCGATATTATGACCAGTTTTCGAGATACAGGGCGTTAAAGTGGAGAATTGCTGATTTTAGTATTTTTTTTCCAACTGAAAAGCTAGATTGTCTTTATGAAGAATATATAAGTGTAATATAAGTTTTGACGAGATGTCCATTCCGTTTAAAAAATTTGTTACAGAGTGATTCACGAATAAAACACAATATATTTTTGCAAACACTAAATATCTACAGTTGCGCCACAAGAGAAATTATTTCATTGAGTTAATATATACCCGTTCAGAAATTATTTTGAAATTATTGGAAATAGTATTAATAAAAACAAAAATAAAGATAAAATGAACAAGATATGTATAGATGAATCCATGAAGAAAACATAGACTGTAGAAAATTGTAATAAAGATGAAAAGTAGTAAAACTAGTGGAAAGAACAAATGAAAATCGTCCAGAGTTAAGTACCTAAGTGATTGAACACTTGTGCTGTGCCACTCTAAACGATATACTGTGTTATATTACATTAAATATAAATTAAAAATGTAACATGTAAGAGCAAATATAGAGTAATTTGATAAATACTTTTTTTGTTATTATTTTAGTGCCTACCTGCATATTCTATTCTATACATTTATTTTATTTTTTAATTTTTTATTCTAGAATTTTTACAAATTCAATATAATTATATGAAAGATAAAATTTCTAGATACAGTGGAAAAACGTTTAAATCTAGTGGTGAGCCTAATATCTAACGGTAATAAATTGCATGCTTTTGGCAAAGTATGAATAAAAAATCTATGAATATTTTTTCTAAATCTTCGGGTGGCTAGGAACTCATTAGCAGTACTGCGGGTTTGGTATACAGAGGGTAAACTATTCTGGAAGAAATTGTTTTTAAAAGCATATATACATAAGCTGTGAAAATAAAGTGATCGAATATTGCAAATATCCTCTGTATATAATAAGTTTGTGTGATATCGTCTTTGTTTCTTGAGTATAATTTTTAAAATGTAATTTTGCGTAATATTTAGTTTCTGTAATGGGTTCCTGTACAATTCTCCCCATATAAAGATTCCATAACGGAAGAGTGATTCAGCTCTAGACTTGTAAATTAGTCATAACAATTTTCTCGAAAGAAACTTTCGTAGTTGATAGAATTTGTAGATAAGCTTCCTCACCTTTCTCGTCAGATAATCTATATGGTTACCCCATTTTAGATTTTTATCAATAATTATGCCCAAGTACTTGACTTCGTTTGTCTCTTTAATTTCATCATGCATACCTGTGATTTTTATACTAGTAAAGTCTGGTCTATTAGTTTCAGTTAAAGTAAAGGCGAGATAATTTGTTTTGTTTGCATTTAACGAAAGTTGATACTCATTGAGCCACCTTTTAAGTTGTAAAAATATGTGTGATTTAATCGTGAATCACCCTGTAACAGTAAATATTTTGAACTGTCTTTTTTCATGGACATCTGACCAAAACTTATATTAAACTTATATATGCTACATAAAGTCAATTTATCTTTTTAGTTTGAATAAAAAATAACTAAAATCAGCAATTCTTCACTTTAATGCCATATAACTCTAATTTAAAATTCACATCTCATAAAAAGGTTGTAAAAACTAAATACAATGTATTGCTAAAAAATGCAAAACAAAATAACTTACTTCAACAAATTAATAATTCAGACAATAAATCTAAAACTGTAGGGCAAATAATAAATAATGAAACAGGACGTAATAATAAAAATAAAGTAGAAGGCATCCTCAATAACAATAAAAATAAAATTGACTTAACTTGTTATAACCGAAAACATCAATCACTTTTCTTAGCTCCTTTTACTGAATCTGACACCATAGATATAATACAAAACATTAAATCAAAAAGAACTTAAGATAAATTATTAAATTAATACCTATTTAATAAAAAACTGCGCCCAAAATATTGTTGTTCCTATTACTGAATTGATAAACTGTTGTTTAGTTGAAGGTACCTTTCCAGATATTTTTAAAACATTCGAAGTTCTACCATGCCACAAAAAAGGAGATGACTCAGTGCCTAAAAATTATCGCCAAATACATATTTTACCATGTTTTTCTAAAATACTTGAAAGTGTTATAGTAAAACAAATTGTGCATTTCTTTGAAAACAACAACCTGGTTTCTGCGAACAATATGGTTTTAGACATGGGAGAACAACTACAGATGCCATGCTTGGTTTAATGAATAACATTCAGGAGTCTTTAGAAAACAAATCACAATGCGTAGCTATATTCACTGATCTGTCTAAAACATTTGACTGTGTAAGTCACACATTGTTAATCAACAAACTAGATAAATATGGCATTACAGGCATTGCAAATAAGATGATTGCTTCTTATTTGCAAAACAGACAACAAAGTGTATATTACAGAAATAAACTTAGTAAACCTTTATTATTGAAAAGAGGTGTTCCACAAGGATCCGTACTAGGCCCTCTATTATTTTTAATATATACCAATGATCTTCCATCTTATATGAATTCAAATAATGCCGAATTACTAACTACCATGTATGCAGATGATACCAATTTCTCATCACTGCAATAACACCTCTGACATAGTTATCAATAACTCCAAGATTATGACTGAAGTTAAACAATGGTTTGATAGCAACGAACTATTTTTAAATCACAATAAAACTGAAACATGTGTCTTCAGGTTGAACCAAGCTACTAGTGAAACAATAATCACTAAATTTCTCGGTATATATTTTGACACACAACTTACATGGAACTATCAAATAAATAACTTATGCAACAAGTTGGCAAAATTCACATTTGCTCTACGTAGAATATCAAATATAGTTAATACAGAAGCAGCAATAATTACTTATTATGGCTTATTCCATTCCAATTTAACGTATGGGATTCTAACGTGGGGTCATGCTAGCTTCACTTCACTACAAAGACTTTTTATCTTGCAAAAATCAGCAGTTCGCTTTATTCTGCGGGTAAATTATTATGAACCATGCCGACCACTATTTAAGGAATTTAGCATAATGACCCTGTTTTCGAAGATAGTATTTGAAAACTTGCTAGCCATAAAAAATAATTTGGGAAACTTCACATGTCACTCAGACCAGTGGTCGCCAACCTCTCAATGTGTTGAGCTACTTTGTTAATTTTGGAATAAACAGCGAGCTACCCACACGGAAGCCACGTAACGCAACGTAAATGAAATAATCCACAGTTAATTTATCATTATATGTATTTATTTTACTATTTAAATGGTAATATATAGGTACTAATAATAAACTAATAACAAAATAACTAATATTACTAGTACGTACTTGTTCATAGCTACATTCCTACCTACTAAACGAAGGTGTTTGAAAAATAAAACTTTTATCCAGCCACAACGGCATGTCACGTAAGATTTAAAAATAGTTAATAATAACAACAAAAAAGTAACGCACTATCATGAATATAAACATTGAAAAATAAAAAAGCACGTTCAATGAGAAGGCTGACACTCAAACTCATCGATAATATTTTTAATGTTTGCAGTATAATTGGATACAGCCTTTCGAATACAATTATCCAAATGTTCATCTGTAAGTCGATTGCGATATTTGTTCTTAATAAACTTCATATTGGAAAAAGAAGATTCACACAAATAGGAATAATGCTTTCACTTTCAAGGCAACACGGCATAGAACTGAATATTTGTCTTTACTTACAATAGGCCAGATAGATTTGGTACTTGAGACTAACGATTTTAAGGCTAAATAATTTTGAAACTCAATTACTTCAATTTCTGTTGCAGCGATGTCTTCGCCAAAGTTCTGCATAACACAAGTTGCAAACTGTTG